CACCTTCTATTCCTGAACTGAAAACACCTATCTTTTGAGAATTTCACCCAAAAAGACTGTTTATCTCTTGAGAGCTGAGCTGGGCAGGAGGGATTTTAGAATTCTGGGAGTGGGGAGTAAGAAGCCATCAGAGAAGGGCATAAAGAAGCAGACATGCTCAGTGAGGGGATGAAGGCACCGTAGATGCCCCTTTGCTTACCAGTGGTATTCATAGCCAGCTGTGGGTTTTTGTCTTTCTAAACACCAGACAGTAGAGAACTCCCTGAAAAGTGATAACTGATGCATATTCTCCCAAAGAATAAAGAGACCTGAGAGCTGTGCAGAGGCCTGTGTGTCTGTGAGAGGGTTAGTGCAGGATGCAGAGCTTCTCCAGGATCACAAGGAACACCGCCTCAGGAAAACTGGAAGCAGAGATACCACCACCCTAGCCTGCTACATGCACACACGTACCATTAAACATTAATGATTCTCTACATTAAGATCTTACACCAGGCCTGACACACAGTGTGTCTCCAAAATTACAAATTGCCCAGCTCTACCCAAAGACAACCAGGAACACCCCTGAAAGTACAGTGGGAGCTTGGGGAGCTTAGAGAATAGTTTGGGCTTTATATTTGGGGGACACAGCACCTCCTTGCGGCCACCATGTGAACTGCACTATTAACTTAGAGACCAGGCCACTTGCCCTGGGCTTAGGAGAGCCATGGAAACAGTACAGAGTCTCAGGCAGCAGGGAATGGGAGGCCAGCCTGGGAGTAGGAGCAGGCAGCATGCTGTGGGAAGCTGCAGAGTGGAGGGGCCCAGAGGGGGTGACCCAGAAATGAGCTGGGAGGGCGGCTCCCCATAAGCCTGTCTTGTCATGGACTCCCCAGCCTCAGGCAGCTTTCCAGTGGGGAAGGGGGGCCAGCACAGAAGGACCACCCTAGAAATGACAGTGTGGGGGACAGCGCAAGGGAGGACCCCAGCCACAACCCTAGCCAAGATGACTTAGCTGATGAGCCTGACTGTGTGCTGGGCCCTGAAATTGAAAATAAGCACAGGAGAGAGAGAATTCCCTGGGTCGCTGAGTGACATGTCTGGATGTGTCCCCAGCTTCATCAGTAGGTGATTTGGTCTTGTGCCAACATCAAATCCTGATGGTATAGCCACTGCAACCACAGTCACACACCTAAGACACGGCCTGCTGCTGCCTGTCTGGTCTACTCAGATGGGCACATGAACTCACACACAGCCACACACCCACATCTATTCCATAGCCTGCTGCAATTCACTCTACAAGTAAACAGGACACACACACACACACACACACACACACACACACACACACACACACACCCTGCTGTTGCTCTCAAGACCTGGACAAACAAAACCACACGGTATTAAGTTAGGCACTACAGAAAATCATGCAGTGAAAACACTGTGGCTGGGAAGACAGCTCAGGGATAAGGGCAACTGCTGCAAAAGCATGAGGACCTGAGTTCAAATCCCCAACACCCACCTAAACTTTGGAAGTGTCACACATGGACCCATAACCCCAGAACTATGGGGGACAGAGACAGAAAAATCCCTGTGACCTGTTGGATGTCAGCCATGCCCCTCATTCACAGAGAGACCCTGCCTCTAAGGGAGAAGTTGGCAAATAATTAAGGAAGACACCTACTGTCTCCTATGGCCTCCAGACATACCTGTATACATCCTCATAATGACAAAAAAAAACCAACAATACATATACAAAAATCAGGCAGAGACTCTGCAAGCATTGATATATATATGATGTATGAATTCCAGACAGCTCCACAGTAAATCTGGCACAAGCAGCAGTGTACACACATGACATACACCGTGTAGAAGATACTGGATGCCAGAGCATGGTTGGCCATTATTAGATGGCTGTGCCAATCACTTGTGTGTGACCATAGTGAGCTGTTTCCGCCCCCCCCCCACTGTTTCTAGCCTGTGAGGAAGACACTGTACTAAGACCAGTTGGGGACAGGGACTTTTCAGGGACACATGGTGTATGCAGGCCTGAGGTGTGGTGTGGCACATGGATGTATGGGGAGTGATGCTTGTTGTGGTAAAACTCTGCTCTGTTCACTGATGCCTGGGAGCTTGTCACATCAGATAAACCCAAGAACCCAGAGAAGGGCTGGGGTGTTAAAATGAATAAAATCTCCTTTACAGGTGATGTCAGCACAGACAAGAAACCTGACCCCTACATCTATGAAAATCTCATCAGGAAGTGCATCATCCTGGGGCTGGAGGGCGAGTTCTCCACCTGCTTCACAGAGCTCCAGGGAAACTTCCTGAAGGATCATCCACCAAGGCTGAAGAATCTCATCTACCTAGTCAAGCACTGGTACCAACTGGTATGGTGATTGGCCCAGACACTGTGGTCCCCTTCTGTACAGGGAGTGGATACAAACAGAGAAAAGATGGAGTATTCTAGTTTGTTTCCTATTGATATGATACTTTATCACATGACCAAAATGCCTTATTAAGTGACACATCCCAGTCACAGTCCATCATTGAGAGAAGTCAGGGCAGTAACTGAAGCAGAGACCATGCAGGAATTCTGCTCACTGGCTGGCTCTCCATGGCTCACTCAGCTTGCATTTATATACAGCCCAGGGTCACCTGCCCAGGAATGGCACCAGCCACCTGGGATGGGCCCACCCACATCAATCATTAATCGGGAACATGAACCCTCAGACTACCCTGAGGCAGCTTCATGGAGGAATTTTCTCAATTAGCTTGTGTCAAGTTGATAAATACTAACCAGCACATTTGTACCATTGTCAAGTTGATACTAAACACACCCCTACTAAACCATAACCTTTCTATTCTTACTTATCTTTAAGGTCTCCTGTTGATCTCACAACATAAAACACAATGTAACTTTAAAGTCCTTATGATTTTTTAAAATCACAAGTACAAAGATGAGCCTCTCAACTGTGGGCGCCTATAAAATTAAGAATTAAACATAAATTGTTTCTTACTTCAAGACGGAAGAAGCAGGGCACAGTCATAATCCAATATAAACAAAACCAAGTGCATCAGTGAAAAATTCCCGGGGTCTGACATCCGGGACTCACCACTTTCTGAGCTCACAGGGTCTGGACAGCTGTTCTTCCCGGGCTCTGGCATCCACAGCACACAGCTGGCCTCACAGGCTCAGGTCAGCTCTGTTCACACGCTCTGCTGTCCTTGGCAGTGGCCACATGCTGGGGACCTTCAGTGTCTTGGGGTCTCCACTGCGACTGAGGCTGCACTTTCTCCAATGCCCTCTCCCGGCCTCTCTCAGTCCAGGCCTCAGCTGTTCTCCATGACCCCTCAATCCTGCAGCCCATGGGACTAAAATAGTACCACCTGGGAGACCTCTCCACAGGACCACATCAGGCTGCCACCTGGAGATGCCCACTTGGGCCCGTGGACCCCAGCTTCTGTGTGTGACCATGAGGAAACTGGTTCCAGAAGACTTGGCCCCCATGGTGCTGGATTATCCTTACTCAGAGCTCAGTTTCTTAATTCTTTTTTTTTTTTTTTTGTTTTTTGTTTTTTTTTTTGGATTTTTCGAGACAGGGTTTCTCTGTGGCTTTGGAGGCTGTCCTGGAACTCGCTCAGTAGTCCAGGCTGGTCTCGAACTCACAGAGATCCGCCTGCCTCTGCCTCCCGAGTGCTGGGATTAAAGGCGTGCGCCACCAACGCCCGGCTTCAGTTTCTTAATTCTAAGATTTCACACAAACAGCCCAGAGAGTAATTTTTCTCTCTAAAACTCACAGGCCAGCCTCTGTCATCTGCCTGTCTGTCAACATTTGTATCTTCCAAGTTCTCACAAATAGCACATTAGGCTGTAAGCATTCAAGTGTGTGTGTGTGTGTGTGTGTGTGCACACGCTCGCGTACATCTATTCATGGAATTACTTGTGTATATGTGTGCCTGTGTGTATAAGCATGTTGTGTCCAGAGAACATTTTCAGGTTCTGGGTCACTCTACCCTAAATATCCAGGCAGGGCCTCATGTTTGAACCCACAGAATGCTAAATTAGCAGCTCTGGATAGTCATATAGCCCTGGAGACCTCCAACAAGGCCACCCCTTGAAGCTGGTATTATCAGTGGGTTTCCTCACTTGCCTGACATTCATGGAAGGCAATCAACCGTATGAACCGCCTCCCTAGCCCCTCCCCAGTCATTGCAGAGCCTGTGAAGAAACCTTCAATAGTGAGCACCATTGCTCTCCCGCCCCCACCCTCACGCCCTGGCTGTCACTCAATGTCATGACTCCTCCTGTGACTGGCGGTAAATGCTCAGTCTTTGTGGACCTCACAGTCTCTGTCTCAACCTCCCAGTCCTTGCCTGTAGCACAGAGGCATCCACAGACTGACTACATGAACGGGTGTGGCTGTGTGCCAGTAAATGCAATGGCAGCTGTATAGACCCCGCGCTAAGTGTCCCCCACACAACAGCTCACAGCCCCGTTTTTCTCATTGCCTTTCTCTTCTCAGTGTAAGGAGAAACTGAGGGAGCCGCTGCCCCCACTGTATGCCCTGGAGCTGCTCACAGTCTACGCCTGGGAACATGGGAGTAGAGTCTCTGAGTTCAACACAGCGGAGGGCTTCAGGGCAGTCTTGGAACTGGTCACCAAGTACAGGCAACTTCAAATCTACTGGACAGTGTATTATGATTTTCAAGACTTGGTGGTCTTCACTCACCTGCTCAGACAGCTTGGAAAAGACAGGTAGCCTGTCCCCTCATGGCTCAGCTCCCCACAGGGAGGACCAGGCTGCAGCAGTGTGGAAATGGGGAGGTGGGAGCTCTGTGTCAATGGGGCATTTCCTGTCCTGTCACTGTGCTGGTCACTGTCCTGCTGACACCTGATTGACATGAGGACCTGCAGCCCTGGGAGGCAGGGGTGGTTTCTCCTGTCTGCAGATGGGGAGACCAAGGCCTGACCTTGTCCAGACCCAAACAGCAGAGGGAGGGGAGTACATGGAGTGGGAACTGAGATGTTCCAGCAGTAACAGAAGTCATAAGGGTGGTGGGGCTTGGAAGGTCAGTGTTGAACTAATAAGATGTAAACAGCACAGAAGACTTGACACAGGTCTTGATCCTGTGTTGTGTTCAGTCCTCACACCTTATCCCTTGACTCTGGCTGGTTGAACTCTCCCATCTCAGGGATCAGAGAGGCTGAGGGACCTGCCCCAGGACACACAGATACTAAAGAGCAGAGGATTCAAGCCCAGGCCTTCCAGGTCATGGGAAAGCATCACTCCAGGCTTGCCCAAAGCTGAGGGGCAGGGACTCAGGACAACCTTGGAACAGGGGTGCTCTGCTGGGCTCCTCCACTGCCCCTGTGCAGTGGCACCTGGGGCACTGGTCATCTGGTCACTTCCCTCTCTGAATGCTGCGCTGCAGGCCTGTGATCCTGGACCCAGCTGACCCAACAAGGAACGTGGCTGGCGGGAACCCACTGGGCTGGTGGCTGCTGGCAGAAGAAGCTGTGACCTGGTTGGAGTACCCGTGTGTTAGGAATTGTGAAACATTCCCAGTGTTCTCCTGGGATGTGCCGGTGAGACCTTTTCCTCATCCTGTCCCCTTGCTTACAGCTTTGGTCACTCCATCTGTCTGGAGACTATTCCCACAAAGATGTGGTCTTTTGCTAAAGCTCTCCACAGTCCTAGGGAGTCCAGCTGCTCCCCTCGTTTTACAGACATCTTAGCGTCATTCAGAGATTTGCCAGGCTGGGAAGATGGCGCAGTGGGTAAAGCATGTGCTGCCAACACTGGTGACCTGGGTTTGATCCCTAGAAGCCTGTGTTAGAATGAGAGACCAACTCTTCCAAGTTTCCCTCTGACATGTACCTCTGTGCTGTTACCAAGAGGACATGAACACACATAAACTCACACACACATAAACATTAACACACTTTTTTTTTGAGACAAGGTTTTCTGTGTAACTTTGTAGATCTGGCTGGCCTGGAACTCATAGAGGTCCACCTTTTCTCTGCCTCCTGAGTGCTGGGATTAAAGGTGTGTGCCAACACTGTGAAGCTTAACACTTATACACTCTTACATTCACACATGCTCTCACTCACTGTACATACACTCACTCACATAAACTCATTTTCCTCTCTCTGTCTATCTCTGTCTCTCTGTCTATCTCTGTCTCTCTGTCTCTCTCTCTCTCTATTTCTCTCTCTCTCTCTCTCTCTCTCTCTCTCTCTCACACACACACACACACACACACACACCATTAGGATGAGAGAGCTGAAACCACTGACTCAGGGATGCTCAGCTAAGGAGAGGTGGGGCTGGATTCCGGTGGGCTCTGAAGCCAGTGCTCAGGTCCAGGAAGCAGCCCATCCCTCCTGCATCACCATCATGTGGCCAGTGGGACTGGGGGGGGGGAGGCTGTGTCACAGCTAAGAGGCACAGAGGGACCTGCACTTGAACCTTTCCTGTCCTGGGGCAGGGGACTTCTGCTGGGAGGGAACTGATGATGTTGTGTGTGGCCTCAGGATGGAGCTTAGCATGTGGCTTTGAACGAAACTGCAAAGGTCAGGAAGTGAGAAGGGAAGTGGAAGGGTTGAGAGCAGACAGGAGAGAGAGACAGCTGGGGCTGCAGGGGCCTTCGGTGCTCTCCTGCAGCAGACAGGTGGCTAGGTACTATCATTTGCTAGAAAAGTTACCAAATGAGGGAACCTCAGGTGGGGCTACATGTACCCTCAATGAACTAAGTCAGAAAGATGTCCTGATGACCACCTTCCCAACATGGGGATGAGCTGTCCTTCTGAGTGTCTCTGGTGTCATCATGGTACCCACTCTCAGAGCTCATTTGCACCCCCTTCCAAGTAGGAACATGGACTCCTGACATGATTGTGTGTTTTCTGTTACAGACCGAAGATCCTCTGCCAAGCCAAGAGGTTAGCTTTTTTCTTGTTGTTTTTGTTTGTTGCGATGTGGGGCTTCAGCTGCATAGCCCAGGCTAGCCTGGAGCTCGCCATCCTCCGGCCTTCATGCTGGGGTGGCTGCGGTGTAGGCCTCATGTGCACTGCCTTCCCTCCATCCCCAGGTGGACGAGAACGGAGCTTGCGTCCTTCTGTGAGCACAGCAGCACCTGCCCAGGAGGCTCCAGAGTCAGGGATGTGCTCCTCTGTGCAGGACTTCACCAGAGAGCAGGATGCTGCCCAAGGCCCCAGGCAGGGTTGGACTCCAGGCTCCTGACCCTGCCTGCCCACCCTAGTCCTGTCCCATCACAGTCTACCCGCTTCATCCAACTTATCCTTGACATCGTTCTCTGGGTGAGAAGAGATTCAGAAGGGAGGGGAGAACTCAAGCTTGACTTCCGTCTGTGTATCTGTTGGAGGGTTCTGGCCAATGTCTAATTCAATAACAATTAAACCACATCTGATGCGAGGAGTGTGTGTGACTTCTGAGGGACAGGGCTATAGAAATACAGGTGTGTGTGTGTGTGTGTGTGTGTGTGTGTGTGTGTGTGTATGTGTGTGTTCATTGTTCAACTGGATGCATTTATTGAGCACTTACTACATGGTACACATGTATCCAGGCACCAAGCACTCAGCAGTGGACAGAACAGAACCAAATTTGTGGTGATATATTGTTTATGATTTATTAAAGCCACTGGTGATCAAAATAGCAAAGCAGTCATAGTAGTTAGCCATAGAAGTCAGACACACACCTTTAACCCCCAGGACTCAGGATTAAGAGGAAGTCAGATCTCTGTTAACTCAAGGCCACACTGACTACACAGAAATTGATCCAGTCCTAAAAGAAACAGCTCACACAAAGGTGATCTCATTACCTGGGAGCACACACCTTTAATCCCAGCACTAGGGAGGTGGAGACAGGAGGATATGACTGGGCAGAGAGGGAAATAGAAGGAGAAGGAGACAGGAACTCAGAGCCTTGTGCCTCTGAGGATTCCTGGAGAAAGGATTGCCATTTCAGCTGAGTAGAGATAAGTGTTGTGCCCACTCGGAGAGGACCCCAAGACTTCAAGGAGCTTAACGATACCAAATGCAAGTACAAGAAGGCCCGTTTATTTCTGGAAAACCAGCTAGCTGGGGCTCAACTCTGTCGGGAGAGTTGAAGCCCCGAGCCGCAAAAGCAAGGCACTTTTAAAGAAAAATAGGAGGGGTAGGGGGTGGGGTCCCGAGGTTTCAAGTCCCAGTCCACAGGGTTCCCGTGGTTACAGAGATTACTTAGCATACCAGAGGTTATCATGAGACTTGAAGGCCTTGAGAAGACGATGACTGCATTTGGTTAGGTAGAATTAATTGGCACATCTGTGGTCTGGGGTTTCACGGCTGGAGCACATCTCACGACTATGGGCTAAGGGAGTAGCTGCCCATGTGATGTTGCAGCTGCTCGTGGGTCTGAGCTTCTGGTCACGTAACCCCCTCACTTAGTTGGGGACTTTTATTCTCCTTATTACATTTCATCAATGAGATCTACTGGCTTGGCTGCTTTGCTTCTCTGATCTTCAGCTTGAAGTTTGAACCCCAATATCTGATCTGGGTCTTTTATTTTTCGTGCTACACAAATCATTACAGTTTTTTATTCTGGTTCCCTCAGGGCAGTTCCAGGTCACTTATAAATAAACCTGAGACAGAAATCTTTTTTTTTTTTTTTGGTTTTTCGAGACAGGGTTTCTCTGTAGCTTTGGAGGCTGTCCTGGAACTCACTTTGTAGACCAGGCTGGCCTCGAACTCACAGAGATCTGCCTGCCTCTGCCTCCTGAGTGCTGGGATTAAAGGCGTGTGCCACCAATGCCCGACGAGACATAAATCTTTTCTTCCTTTTGTCCCTGTTCCCAAGGCAAGATTCAAGACCTTCCCCAACTGACTCAGAAGCTGCTCTGCAGCTGTAAGTGGCCAAGGTGACCCAGGAATGCGAGCATGTTGAGCCAGGTTCGCAGAGCCCCAGACCAACCCAAGGAGCCGACACCTCCGAGGCAAAAGCAAAGGTTTCTTTTTATTGTTCAAGCTGGCCAGCTTGGATCTCACTCCACGGTAGGGAAATGAGATGCCAACCAGCCATTAAGAGAAGCTTTTAAAGGGGAAGACCATAAGGTTGAAGGCCACAAATTTCAGGGTTTCCATGGTTACTTAAGATCATACAAAGTACAAAGTAAAGCAGTAACTATTTTAAGCAAGATACATTTGAGTAAGATAAGGCAGGGCATGGGGTTGCAGGGTTACAGAGTCACTGGGTCTGTCAGTTATCCCCTAGGCCAATGGATCTTTACAACCTTACGACCAGCAATTAGCAGACACAGGAATGTTGACACAAGTGGTGGACAGTCACCGCCCCTTCTCTGAGAGTGGGGCTCAGGCACCAGCCATGGCATTCCCAGTCATTAGAAGTTCCCTTTTTGCCAGGCGTTGGTGGCCCACGCCTTTAATCCCAGCACTCAGGAGGCAGAGGCAGGCGGATCTCTGTGAGTTCGAGGCCAGCCTGGTCTACAAAGCTAGTTTCAGGATAGCCTCCAAAACAATACAGAGAAACCCTGTCTCGAAAAAAAAAAGTTCCCTTTTCAGGGCCTGAGTTTTTAAACCTTTATTAATTTTAAGTTTTGGCCCTTCAAGCAGCGCACAGGAAGATGCACTGTGGCTGCAACACGCAGGCTGGGGGTTGAGGGAGTGCATGGAAAATAAAAAATACATTGAATTCATGACACTGGTGGCTATGAAACATGGTTGTCTGTGACGATTGTGAACTTTTGGTACACTGGGTTAAATTTGGTACACTAAGTTTCTCTTAGGCTAGGAATGTCATGTTCAGTAACCAATGAGCAACCATGGCCTTGCAAGTAGCTCTAGTGGGTGAGGGTTCCCGGGCAGTAAACAACTGGCTGAACCTTGAGGTTGGAGACTACGTGCAGAAAGGTCCATTGATGCAGGGAGTTTTGTCTAAAGTTGATTTTACCCTGACCTCAGCAAAACAACACCTGGGAAAATGAACTCCTCTATATTTGTCTCTAGGGGCAACCAGACATTTGTCTCCAGCAGCAACCAGCCTGCTTTGAAACTGCTGCAAAGTCTAAAGTTAGCTGTCTGTATAAAAGGCTGTCTTTGTGACTGAGAATCCTACGTCAGAGTAATGTAAAATATCCTAGTGTTATTTCTACTCATCAGATTAAGCATCATCTTCCTGACTATCCACAGCTATATGTGTGCCCAACATGTATAAAACACACCACCAAAAGGCTGTGGGAAGACCCCACAGCTGTTCTTATTAGGAAGGTGTAGCAGTGGCACCTGAGAAAGTTACGGACAGAAAACAGTCATTTACAGTCAGTAGCCCCACAGTTTTGCCAAGTGGGGCTCCCCAAGTGGGTCAACTTGTTAAACACTAGTTGTCACTGCTGTACATGCCCACAGCCTCTTGCAACCAACCAACAGCCCTGGGCAAGAAGGAACCAAGGATTCCTGTCTCCGGTTTATGTATGAGCAACCTGGATTCCCAAGCCGCCTGGAAAAAAAGCTGTAATGATTTGGTTCTGCTCTGTTCAATGCTGAGGGCTTGGTGCCCGGACCCATGTGGAACATGGATAAATGAATGCAGTTGAACAATGAACACACACACACACACACACACACACCCATACTACTATGGTTCACCACACACACCCTCATTGTTAGTATTCAGGCATCTGTACTGGCCTGCCCTTGGGGTTCAGATGCATGCGCCCTCAGCTGCAGCCACGAAGAGCACCGCCTGTGCACATTCACTATGTTCCCTTTTAAAAGGGCCCTGCCCACCTCCCATCCTTCTGTTTCTTTCCCTCCCTCTCTCTGTTCCCCTTTCTCTTTCTCCCTCACTCTGTGTCTCTGTCCGCCTCTCCCCCCTTCTCTTTCCCCTTATTATGATCCTTTTCGCTAATTAAAAAAAAACCCTCTGCTTGAACCCTGTTGCATGGCATCGTTCTCTCATGTACTGCTTTTCTTAAATTATAACACTCGTGGCATCTGCTGTGGCTTAATTGTTGATCAGACACTGGACGGAACCCTCCAACAGACACACAGACGGAAGTCAGGCTTGAGTTCTCCCCTCCCTTCTGAATCTCTTGTCCCCCAGAGAACACTGTCAAGGATGAGGCAGATGAAGCAGACAGTGAGGAAGGCTGGATGTGATGGGGCAGGATGGAAAGGAGGGCGGGGTCAGGAGCCTGGAGTCTGACCCCAGGTTGGACGATCCCTCACTGGGGCCTTGGGCAGCATCCTGCATAGAGGAGCACATCCCCTGACTCCAGAGCCTCCTGGACAGGTGCTGCTGTGCTCACAGGAGGATGCATGATCTGATCTCGTCCACCTGGGGATGGAGGGAAGGCAATGTACATGAGGCCTAAACCACAGCCACCCCAGCACTAAGGCAGGAGGATGGCGAGCTCCAGGCTAGCCTGGGCTATGCAGAAGATGACCTCGAAACAATGAAAAGAAACAAAAACCACAAAAATAAACAGAGGTAGTAAAAAAAATTATTCTCCTGGTTCTCCTGATGTGGCACATCAACCTCCGTCTGCAATAGAAAACACACAATCTTGTCAGGATCCTGCAATTCTTATTGAACCTGAGGGGGGGGGGTGTTGTGACAGGCCACCTGGACCCTAGGACAGGATGCTGGGAAGGAGGCCAAAAAGCCAACTTCAGGACTGAGGCCCTTGTGCCCATGCAGAGTACTTCCTGGGAAGCCACACCTCCCAGCTGAGGGCCCCTCATTCATTCACAGATCTCTCAAAAGAGAGAATGGGCATAGCCAGCCTCCTGCTGCAGGGCAGCCTGAGAGAGCACTGCAGCTTCACTCGGCTCCTTCTATATCCCTAATGTCCCCTCTCACTTCCTTCTTGGACTGGGGTTTGGTTCCAACATCCCTGCACCCGTGCTAAGCTCAGCCACCCATGGCACCATCAGTTCCCTAGTATTAGAAAGTCCCCTGCACCAGGAGGTGAAAGGTTCAGTGCAGGCCCCTCTGTGTCTTTTTGGATGTGATACAGCTCCCCCCACCCCCCAGTCACGTTGGCCACATGACAGTGAGGCAGGAGAGATGGCTGCTTCCTGGACCTGAGCACTGGCTTCAGAGTCAATGGGAATCCCAGCCCCACCTCTCCTTAGCCAAGCATCCCTGAGCCAGTGGCTTTAGTTCTGAGTCCCCTTTTCACACTCTGTGGTGCGCGCGCGTGTGTGAGTGCATGTCTGCTTGTGCATGTCAGAGGGAAACTTGGAGGAGTTGGTCTCTCATTCTAACACAGGCTTCTAGGGATCAAACCCAGGTCACCAGTGATGGCAGCACATGCTTTACCCACTGCGCCATCTTCCCAGCCTGGCAAATCTCTGAATGACGCTAAGATGTCTGTAACAGGAGGGGAGCAGCTGGACTCCCTAGGACTGTGGAGAGCTTTAGCAAAAGACCACATCTTTGTGGGAATAGTCTCCAGACAGATGGAGTGACCAAAGCTGTAAGCAAGGGGACAGGATGAGGAAAAGGTCTCACCGGCACATCCCAGGAGCACACTGGGGACCCATCTCTGTTCTTAAAGCACCGGTACTGAAGCCAGGACTTAGCCTCTCCTGCCAACCGTCCCCAGCCATCTGAGTTCACAGCAGCCACGTTCCCTGTTGGGTCAGCGGGGTCCAGGATCACAGGCCTGCAGAGCAGCATTCAGAGAGGGAAGTGACCAGATGACCAGTGCCCCAGGTGCCACTGCACAGGGGCAGTGGAGGAGCCCAGCAGAGCACCCCTGTTCCAAGGTTGTCCTGAGTCCCTGCCCCTCAGCTTTGGGCAAGCCTGGAGTGATGCTTTCCCATGACCTGGAAGGCCTGGGCTTTAATCCTCTGCTCTTTAGTATCTGTGTGTCCTGGGGCAGGTCCCTCAGCCTCTCTGATCCCTGAGATGGGGAGAGTTCAACCAGCCAGAGTCAAGGGATAAGGTGTGAGGACTGAACACAACACAGGATCAAGACCTGTGTCAAGTCTTCTGTGCTGTTTACATCTTATTAGTTCAACACTGACCTTCCAAGCCCCACCACCCTTATGACTTCTGTTACTGCTGGAACATCTCAGTTCCCACTCCATGTACTCCCCTCTCTCTGCTGTTTGGGTCTGGACAAGGTCAGGCCTTCGTCTCCCCATCTGCAGATAGGAGAAACCACCCCTGCCTCCCAGGGCTGCAGGTCCTCATGTCAATCAGGTGACATCAGGACAGTGCCCAGCACAGTGACAGGACAGGAAATGCCCCATTGACCCTGAGCTCCCAACTCCCCATTTCCACACTGCTGCAGCCTGGTCCTCCCTGTGGGGAGCTGAGCCATGAGGGGACAGGCTACCTGGCTCCACTGAGCTGTCTGTGCAGGTAGTTGGAGACCTCCTGGTCGTGAAAGTCATAATACATTGTCCAGTAGATTCGAAGCTGCCTGTACTTGGTGACCAGTTCCAAGACTGTCCTGAAGCCCTCAGCTGTGTTGAAGTCAAATAATCTTCTCCCACGTTCCCAGGCGTAGACTGTGAGCAGCTCCAGGGCATACTGTGGGGGTAGCGGCTTCCCCAGCTTCTCCTTACACTGAGAAGAGAAAGGCAAAGAGAAAAACGGGGCTGTGAGCTGTTGTGTGGGGGACACTTAGCGCGGGGTCTATACAGCTGCCATTGCATTTACTGGCACACAGCTGTGGGTTCAAGCATCAGACTCTGCCTGGATATACAGGGTGGGGAGTGCCTGAGGACCTGACACCACTCTCTGGCCTCAAATGCTAAGGGACACAACACAACACACACACACATGCTCCCATGAACAGTTATAAAGACACACAGATCCAAAAAGCCCATAATATAACACGAAATTAAACGTTTAAAGAGATAATTGCTTGAAAGGTCAGGACAATCAAAGTGATGGAAAGTAACATGAAAGATTTGCCAAAGAAGAGAAATCCAAAGGCACAAATGATGCAAGCATCCGGCGAAAAGTGAACTAGACGTGGCAGAAGAGAGAGTTAGCTGACTGGGAAGTGGACTAGGGGAAAAAAAAATCAATGAGAACAGGCATAGAAAGTCCTCCTTCCTCACAGGTCCCCTCCCTCCCCTTCCCTGTCCCTCCCTCCCTCTCCCTCTCCCTCCCTCAGTAGCATCCTACCTCACCACCCCCACTTACCCCTGCATTCCCTCTCATCCCTGCCCCCTCAGCTTCCCTTCCACCAACACTTCCTTGTCAATCTTTTTCCTCACCATTTGTGCCCTTTGTTTTCTTTTCGTCAGCATGACAAAAGCTAGAGTCATCTTGAGAAGGTGGAGCCACAGAGGAGAAAATGCCTCCACCAGACATGGGCAAGCCTGTGGGGCACTTTCTTGATCAATGGTTGACTCAGCCCACTGTGGGCAGAGCTGTCCCTGGGCAGGTGGTTCTGAGTTGCTTCTAAAAAAAGCAAGCTAAGCAATCGAGTGTCAAGCCGGTAAGCAGTGCCCTTCCATGGCATCAGCTCCTACACCGACTTCCCTCAGACCTGGGGTGTGATATGGACGTATAAGCCAGACAATCCCTTTCCCCTCCAAACTGCTTTGGCCCTCACCTTTGCCACAGGAATATAAGCAAACTAAGACAGAAGTTGGTCCTAGAGAGTGGACGACGCTGTGACACACCCACCGTGTTGCTCTTTGGGAGGACAGTGGAAGGATGTTGGAACTTTGGGTTGAAGAAGCCATTGAGTGCTTAGAGCCTTAATGGGCTGTTTGTGGGAATTCAGAAAATACTAGTGTAGAGAGGCGGATGACGGAGGCTGGTGTGGGAGTTTCAGAGGGAAGCAAAGGGTCTATCTGGGATGTTTGTGGGAGGTTTTAGGATTAAGAATCCATGGCTTCTCCTCAGCTGGGGCTGAAACTCAGCTCTGAGTAAGAAGAGACCAGACCATGGAGGCCAAGTCTTCTGGAAAGAGTTTCCTCACAGTCACACACAGAAGCTGTAGTCCACGGGCCAAAGTGGGCATCTCCAGGTGGCAGCCTGATGTGGTCCTGTGGAGAGGTCTCCCAGGTGGTACTATTTTAGTCCCATGGGCTGCAGGATTGAGGGGTCATGGAGAACAGCTGAGGCCTGGACTGAGAGAGGCCGGGAGAGGCCATTGGAGAAAGTGCAGCCTCAGTCGCAGTGGAGACCCCAAGACACTGAAGGTCCCCAGCATGTGGCCACTGCCAAGGACAGCAGAGCGTGTGAACAGAGCTGACCTGAGCCTGTGAGGCCAGCTGTGTGCTGTGGATGCCAGAGCCCGGGAAGAACAGCTGTCCAGGCCCTGTGAGCTCAGAAAGTGGTGAGTCCCGGATGTCAGACCCCGGGAATTTTTCACTGATGCACTTGGTTTTGTTTTTATTGGATTATGACTGTGCCCTGCTTCTTCCCTCGAGGAGATTATTTGAGTTCTTAATTTTATAGGAGCCCACAGTTGAGAGACTCATCTTTATAAGTGTTGGAGTGTTTTTTTAGCTTTGGGACTTTTACAGCTGTATTTTTTTTTGGTTTTTTTTTATTTTAAGTTAGAAACAAGCTCACTTCACATGTCAATTCCAGTTCCCTCTCCTCCCCCCCCATCAGGCCCCCAGTCCCCTATCCAATCTCCACTCCGATCCCCAGGGAGGGTGAGGCTCTCCATGGTGGATCTCCAGAGTCTGTCATTTCATCCAGGGCAGGGCCTAGGCCTTCCCCCAAGAGTCTAGGCTGAGAGAGCATCCCTCATTGTGTTACAGCTGTATTGTATTTTATAATTTAATACTGACATGAGAGCTTAGGGATACGCAAGAAAGGAAAGGTTAGGGTTTAGTAGTGGTGTGTTTGTGTATCAACTTGAAAAGCAGTCAGTTGTGCTGGTTAGTTTTCGTCAACTATACATCTGGCAGGAGGGAACCTTAACCAACAAAATGCTTCCATCAGACCGGCTTAGAGTAGTTTGTGCGGTCAAGTTACTAATTAATGATTGATGTGGGTGGGCCTATCCCACGTGGCTGGTGCCATTCCTGCGCAGCTGACCCTGGGCTGTATATAAATGCAAGCTGAGTGAGCCATGGAGAGCCAGCCAGTGAGCAGAATTCCTGCCTGGTCTCTGCTTCAGGTACTGAGCTTTCTTCCCTCAGTGACAGACTGACTGGGATGTGCAACATAATACGACCTTTCCTTCCCGTGTGACTTTTGGACATGTGATAAAGATATCATGTCAATAGAAAGCAAACTAGAATACTCCTCCTATTCTCTGGCTGTATCCATCCCCTGTAAAGATGGGCTGGGAAGCCGGGCGTTGGTGGCACACGCCTTTAATCCCAGCACCCGGGAGGCAGAGGCAGGCGGATCTCTGTGAGTTCAAGGCCAGCCTGGTCTACAGAGCTAGTTCCAGGACAGCCTCCAAAACAATACAGAGAAACCCTGCCTCAAAAAACAAACAACAAAACAAACAAACAAAAAAGATGAGGCTGAGCCAGATGCCATACCAGTTGGTACCAGTGCTTGACCAGGCGGATGAGACTCTTCAGCTTAGTTGTACGATTCTTCAGGAAGTTGCGCTGGATCTCCATGAAGCAGGAGGAGAACTCGCCCTCTTTCCCCAAGGAGGTGCACTCCCTGATGAGACGTTTGTAGATTTCAGGGCCAGGCGTGCTGCAGATGCTGACATGACCTGCAAAGGAGATTTTATTCATTTTAAAACCCCAGACCTAGCCGGGCGGTGGTGGTGCACGCCTTTAATCCCAGCACTCGGGAGGCAGAGGCAGGCGGATCTCTGTGAGTTCGAGGCCGGGCTGGACCGACAGCCTCCAAAACAATACAGAGAAACCCTGTCTCGTAAAAACCAAAAAAAAAAAAAAAAAAAAAAAAAACCCCAGACCTTCTCTGAGGTTCTTGGGTTTATCTGGGGGTGACAAGCTCCCAGGCTATGGGCATCAGTGAACAGAACAGAGTTTTAGCACAGCAAGCATCACTCCCCATACATCCATGTGCCCCACCACACCTCAGGACTGCATACATCATGTGCCCTTGGAAAGTCCCTGCCCCCAACTGATCCTTGTACAGTGCCTTCCTCACAGGCTAGAAACAGCTCACTGTGGTCACACACAAGAGGGATGCATGACCATCTAATAATAATAATGGCCAACCATGCTCTGGCGTCCAGTATCTTCTACACGGCGTGTGTCACGTGTGTACACTGCTGCTTGTGTCAGATTCACTGTGGAGCTGTCTGCTGCGTTTGGACATCATGTGTCTCCTGCTCACAGTCTCTGCCCTATTTTGTGTGTGCATTGTGTGTGTGTGTGTGTGTGTTCATGAGACGTTACTTAACATGTCTGGAGCCAAGAGACGACACTGGGTGTCTTCCTTTATACTTTGTCACCTTATCCTTAGAGGCAGGGTCTCTCTGTGAACATGGAGCCTGGCTGGCATCCACCAGGTCTGAGAGAAGGTCTGAGAGATTCTCCTGTCTCTGGGTTACAAGTCAATGTGGGGCACTTCCTAAGTTTAGGTGGGTGTTGAGATTTGAACTCAGGTCCTCATGCTTTTTCAGCAATTGCCCTTATCCCTGAGCTGTCTCCCCATCTACTGTAGGTCTTCAGTGCTTGATTTCCCTTAGTGCCTAACTTATTATCATGTGGTTTTGACTGACCAGGTTCTGAAACAACGCGATATGGCAGCAGTGTGTGAGTGTGTGTGTTTGTGTGAGTGTGTGTGTAAGTCCCCCATTTACTTGTAGAGTAGATGTGCAGCAGGCTATGGAATAGATGTGGTTGTGTGGCTGTATCTGGGTACACATTTGAACAGACTAAACAGGCAGCAGGCTGGGTCTTAGCTGTATACATATATATGGTCATGACTGGATCAGGCCAAACCATCGGGGTTTGACTCTGACACAGCGCAAAATCACCTACTGATAGAGATGGGGACACACCTGGGCACTCAGTGACCCAGGAGAGTCTCTTGCTCATGTTTATTTTTAACTTCAGGGCCAGTAACACAGTCAGGCTCATCAGCTAAGTCATCTTGGGTAGGGTTGTAGCTGGGGTCCTCTCTTGCGCTGTCTCCCACACTGTCATTTCTAGGGTGGGCCTTCTGTGGTGGCCCCCCTTCCCCACTGGAAAGCTGCCTGAGGCTGGGGAGTCCATGACAAGACAGACTTCTAGGGAGCCGCCCTCCCAGCTCATTTCTGGGTCACCCCCTCTGGGCCCCTCCACTCTGCAGCTTCCCACAGCATGCTGCCTGCTCCTACTCCCAGGCTGGCCTCCCATTCCCTGCTGCCTGAGACTCTGTACTGTTTCCATGGCTCTCCTAAGCCCAGGGCAAGTGGCCTTGTCTCTAAGTTAATAGTGCAGTTCACACACTGGCCAGAAGGGGTGCTGTGTTCCTCAAATGTAAAGCCCAAACTATTCCCTTACCTCTCCAAACCCACACTTTGCTTTCAGGGGTGTCCTGGTTGTCTTTGGGTAGAGCTGGTCAGTCTGTAAATTTGGAGACACACTGTGTGTCAGGCCTGGTGTAAGATCTTTACATAGAGGATCATTCAATGTGCAATATAACAGGTGTGTACACATGGGGGGCTGGGGTGACAGTGGCTCTGTTTCCAGTTTTCCTGAGGCAGACAGTGATCCTGGAGAAGTTCTGCATCCTGCACTAACCCTCCCACAGACACCCAGGCCTCTGCACAGGTCTGAGGTTCCCATTCTTTGGGAGAAGATGCATCAGTTATCAATTTTCAGTGAGGGTTAGCTAAGGGGACCTTCATCCCCTCACTGAGCCAGCTTGCTACTTAATGTCCTCCTCCGATGGATTCTCACTCTCCACTCCCAAAATTCTGAAATCCCTGCCCCCAGCTCAGCTTCATAGAGATAGTCTGTTCCGGTGACTTTCTCAAAAGATAGGTGTTTTTCATTCAGGAATAGAAGGTGTGGGCTGGGGAGGTGGTCAGTGAGGAATGTGATTGTCACACAAGCCTGAGGACCCGTGTTGGAACCCAGGACTCAGGGAAAAGTTGGGCGTGGTGACATAGGATTGTAATGGAAGTGCTGGGCAGGTGGAGACAAGAGGGCTTTGGGGCTCTGCCCTGACAGTCAAGACTAGTGTGGAAATCCAGGCCAGGGAGAGACCAGGTCTCAAAAAAGATGGACAGCTCCTTAAGTGTGTCAGCCAGTTCATGATCACACTCATGCACAACGAATCCACATCTCACACACACACACACACACACACACACACGCATACACACACATGAGCGCGTGCGCGTACACACACACAGAGACAGAGACAGAGAGAATTAGAAAAGAGGATGGAGGTACACAGGGGGGCAGGCTGAGGCTCTAACCTGCTTACCCAGGACATCATAGGCCGGCAGCACATCAAACTCCACCTCCTGGTGAAGATGCGAAGAGCTCAGCTTGAAGCTGAGTGCCCGGGGGTTGGACCACCATGAACTCTGGACCTCAAACTTCACCCAAATATGTCTCTCTCTCTGAAAGTTGCAGAGCTGTTTCTTGATTTCCTGGATGAACTCTGCCCGTCGGTTTAACTGATCCTCGAAGCTGGTGAGATTGCTAAGGAACACCACCAGGTCCGCATCTGACCTGCCCTTGAGGGCTGTGCCTTTACCCAAGGAGCCGCCCTGGAAGACAAGAATGGAAATGACAGGCAAAGCCATGCCTAGCAGTCCAGACCCCCAACAGCCACTGCTGAGTGGGCATTACAAATGCTATTTCTGGGGACCCATAGCCCACATCAAGTGGAGCTTGGAGAATCCTGCAGAGGAGGGGGAGGAAGGATTGCAGGAGGCAGAGGGTCAAGGACATCACTAGAAAACCTACAGAACCAGCTAACCTGGAATCATAAGGGCTCACAGAGACTGAGCTGACAGCCGGTGAGGCTTCCCGGGACTGACCTAGGCCCTGTGCTTATATGATATGGTTGTGTAGCTTGGTCTTGAGACTCCTAACAGTAGGAGCAGGGGCTGTCTCTGAATCCTTTGCCAGCTTTGAGACCCTGTTCCCCCTACTGGATTGCCTCATCCAGACTTAATATGAGGGGAAGGATATGCCTCAGTTGGCGGATATCTATGGGAAGCTTGTCATTTTCTATGGAGAGGATTGGGGGGGGACAGAGGGGAGGTGGGGAAGGGGCTAGGAGGAGATGAGGGAGGGGAAACTGATCAGGATGTTAATAATAATAATAATAGTAATAATAATGAAAAATGTCATATCTGGGGATGGAGGGATGGTGCCTCAGCAATTGAGAGTGGCTGCTATTCTTGCAGATGACCTGAGTTTAGTGTCCAGCACCCGAGTAGGCCAGCTCACAACCACCTAGGTAACTCCAGTTTTAAGGGACATGACACCCACTCGTCAACTCTAAGGACACCTGGACTAACACATGCATAGTCCCCTATCCACAAAATTAATAAAGAAAATCAGCTACAAAAAAAAAAACCCCACAACTTTATCTCTGCAGCTTTCACAGTGAATAAGACACTGATGAAATCCAAGAATTGGAACCAAGCTCATTGAAAGTCCATCAATCCAGTCACCTAGCAGGAGGGGTCCTGTTCTGTTCTCTGTATCACACTGTTCTCCGTATCACACTTGACTGAGTTTTCAGTTCCTGTGCCATTATAGGAGGTGTGCAGAGAACACTGAGCCCGGAGATGATAATTCACTCACCCAAGGTCACACAGCAATGCAAAAGCTGGGTCCCCCGATCCAGCCCTCTCCACAAAACTGATTCCTCGAGTTTGGCCTCAGTTTCCCTGACTCTGAAACGGATGTGGCCTGGGAGAGTGGAACATGAACTGTAGCTGAGAATCTTTTTTTAATACAGATGTGAGACCTGGGGGCAGAACCCACCACAGCTGTGATCAGAGGTGAGGAGACAGATGGGATCAGTCTGGCTCCTCAGGGTCCTCTCCCTCCCCACCGGGGTCAGCTCAGGCTGAGGGGGCTCACCTTCACCACCTTGGAGACCCTCACAGGGTGGTCGGCTCCTTGGAAGCATCTCTCCTTCAGGAAAGTGCACATGATATTAATGACGGCTTTGACATCTTTACGGAAGGTGGTGTCGGGCAAGAGGTGGTCCTCTATGAACTTGTCCAGCTCCCAGGCCGGGGTGCTGCTGAGTCCCTGCCCCATCCTGGGGCCCTCTCATGCGCCTCCCCCTCTGCAAGTGCTGAGCTGGGCAATGCTGCTTTTCGGTTTCGATTTCCCCGGGAGGGCGGGGATATGCAAATCACCCAGGCCGGAGCAGCCAATGGCTTTGGGGCTTCTCACAAGGTCCCTCCTTGCCTGGGTTTCCTTAGCTTCCTACCCAGTGAAGAACTCACCAGGTGTGGTTGGGGGGTTGGGCGCGGGGAGTCTTTTTGTTGAAAAGCTGGTACATGGCAGATTTTAAGAACATCTGTACATGCTGGAAAAGAAGGGAAACCAAGTCTGGAAATGCAGAAGGCAGCGATTGGGTCCTGTACTCGGCTTTCAGCCCCTGCAAATGTTTTGCAAGAGCTCATGTTTTTCTTTTTTAAAAACCGCCATAAAGGGTGTTGATCTTCTAGACCTGCAGCTCTAGGGTTAAAGAAAATTCTTACAGAAAGTCCAGAGTTCCCAGAAGGCCCTCTCCAACGTATATCTCCTCCTCTCTCCACTGTGGTGCTGGAGAGGTAACCAAGGCTATCCCACAGTAAAGCAGTCTGTTCCACTGAGCTCCCCGGGTTTTGGTTTTGTTTGTTTGTTTGTTTTTTTTGAGACAGGGTTTCTCTGTATTGTTTTGGAGGCTGTCCTGGATCTAGCTCTTGTAGACCAGGCTGGTCTGAAACTCACAGAGATCCACCTGCCTCTCTGCCTCCCGAGTGCTGGGATTAAAGGTGTGTGCCACCACAGCCTGGCTGACTGTGGCCTCTTGCAGAAGCAGAATTGTGCCAGAAGTGGTTCTCTGGTGGAGACTAGGTACCAGGGCCCAAGGGGCCTCAGGTTTTGTAGGATAGAAACGGGACCTTGGGGTGGAAGAATTCATCTGCAGGTCTCTTTTCTGCCCTCCCAAGCTGGTGAGTTTTGGTGGAGTCCTTACCATGTAGGCCTCCCTGGTCCTAACTGCCTCGAAGGTCAGCACTGCTGGAATCTCTCAGACAGCCCGAGGCTTCTAGGTTATTAAACGTTTGCATACCCCTAAAGAAACAAGTAGATAACCAAGAAAGAAACCCAGCATTGCCGATGGTCCTGGGAGTCCAGCACTCAGAGGCTGATGCAGGAAGATGGATAACAAGACTGGTCTAGCTGGATTCACTACAGAGATGGAGAAAAGGAAGCCACAACAGATTGAGGAAATAAATGGAATGAATGATCCTACCCTAGGCTATGGCTGACAACACACTTTCTGGGAGAAACAACACAGAAGCAGGAAGCTGTGTTCATTTTGGCTGAGTTATTCCAGGTCAGGGGTCAGCCTTCAGCACAAGTGCCATCTTCTTAATGTTTTCCTTTTGTGTGTGTGTGTGTGTGTGTGTGTGTGTGTGTGTGTGTGTGTGTGTGTGTGTTTGGTTAGCAAAGTATAGTGGCTGATCCTAGCACCTGGGAGGCAGAGGAAGTTGGACCTCTGTGTTTTCAAGGTCAGCCTGGTCTACAGAGTGAGTTCCATGATGGCCAGAGCTTAGTAATGAGAACCTTGTCTTGAGAAATCAACAACAAAACTTTTGTTTGCCACCATATAGATTCTGGGAACTGCACCCTGGTCCTCTTCAAGAACATCCAGGGCTCTTAACCACTGAGCCACCCCTCCACCCCCCCCCCCCGCCCCTCACCCCCACCCCCGCCGGCACAATCTTCTTGGTCTCATTGGGATCCTTGGTGGATCCTGAGGGAGCTGTGATGCTGGAGGCTCTGGCACAGATGCCAGGATGGGACAAGAGACCAGCTGAGGGTCCTGAGCAGATCCGGGCAAGGGCCAAGCTAGTTATACTTTAAAATATTCTATTGCATTTATTTCATGTGTGTGACCACGTGGGGCCAAGGGACAACTTGTGGCCATCAGCTCTCTCTCCTTGTACCATGTGAGTCGCAGGAATCAAACCCAGGCCATCAGGCTTGGCAGCAAACACCTGGACCCACCGAGCCATCTCACTGACTCTCTTTGTTGTCGTTTGGGGGCACAGGCTCATAGGCTAGGCTAGCCTTCAACGTACAGCAATCCTCCTGCCTCAGCCACCTGAGTGCTAGGATTGTAGTGGGCCACTATGCCCAGCTCACCTACTCATCTTCCATGCCCTCCTGTGTGTCTTAAAGAGATCTGATGTGTCACTCAGCCCGATGAGGCAATGCCATCCTGACTGAGCCATCGAGTCCCCAGGTCACAAGGTGTAACCCTCTTGGCCACACGTCCAGCTGCTGCTGGGGACACACCGCTAATCCTCATGAGTCCCTTGACCTAGCCGCCTCTCTGCTCAGCTCTGTCTGCCCTGATAGTGCCCAGATTCAGTTCTGCCTCCAACGCCAACCTGGCCTGCTGGAGGTTGGAAGCTCCATGGGCACCGGCTGGACTGTCAGCCCTGCCACCTGCCACCTCGACTGCTTTCACGGGTAATATGACTGAAATGCCCGCAGGCATGCTCCAAAATGCTCCTGTCAGAGACATGGACCGGATGCCTGGCCAAGGTGACAGGAAAGATGTGAATGGCGTGGGGACAGCATTTCCCCCCACATCAATTCATGCAGTGTCCGTCTTGATGGAGAGAAAAGAGCAAGTCGCCTGTTCAGGAGTCCCAGTGTTCATGAAAACGCTCGGCCTGTTAGGCATGTCCCCTGCTGGGGACAAGGGTCAGCCATTTTCAGGATGGAAATTAGATGGTCTCCCTCTGCTGCCCAGAAGTGTCTGTGTACAGCACTGTGTTGAGAAGGAAGGGTTCAGAAGCCATTTGCAGCTGCTGCAATGGGTGCTGCATTGTTTAGCGATGTCTGCCAGGAGCCCTGGGAGAGGGTGGGTCAGAGCCCTTGGTATGAGGCCCCCCCCACTTGACCCCTGCAGCCACCTGGTGGCCAGTAACTGAACTTCAGCCTGAAGGTGGCTGTCTTCAGTCACTATGGAGGCTGGAATTGGTGGCAAGCATACGGGGAAATCGTTTCTAATCTACACTGTTCCCAGGGGTCAGCAGAGTCTTTTGGAAGTGAGGAGAGCATGGGCAATTTAAAAAGAGACTTCCCAGGTGATTCCAGGAACTTGACAAATTGTCCTGGAAGAACTCAGCAGGAAATGGCTAGCTGGCCTTCCCAGTAAATTGCTCTTGTCTTTCAGGGACATAACACAGGGATGTTCAAAAATCCTCTTGAAGAGCCATGCACACCTGCAACCAATCTGAACATTCTAGTGGTGAAGCTGGGGGATCAGGAGTTCAAAGCTAGCCTAGACAACATATAGAGTTCAGGGTTGTCCTGGACTATTATATGAGACCTTGTCAAGGGAGGCAAGGGGGAATTTTCTAGAGTTATTTATCTGGCTTTGGGGATCATTGAGAAAGTGGAATATGGGTCTATCGGTGAAGGCTCCCTGTGCAATGGAAGGTGGTAAACACGGGGTGGTGTTGGATGGTCATTGGGATCCTTAGTTACTGTCTCTGTGCTGAGTGCAGGCCTGAGAGTCTAGAGGCCCCACTCCCTTCTGTTCCTAGCTTCCTTGGGTCTTTGTTTCCTCATCTGATTGATAAATGAATGGATTGAGCAGGTCCCCACTTAAGTTTAGGTTCCGGTGTGTGTGGGATGTATGTATGTATACATGTTTGTATGCGTGTACATGTGTGTAGCTGGTGGTCAGAGGTCGACATTGGTGTCTTTCTATGTTGCACTCTTATTTTTTGAGGCAGGGTCTCTCCGTGAACCTGGAGCTCACTGACGGGGCTTGACCAGCTGGGCAGTGAACACCAGGGCTTCTCCTCCTCCTGCCTCTACCTGCCTGGTGCTCAGATTATAGCCCCACCCCACCATGCCCAGCTTTATTGTGTGTGTGCACGTGGTGTAGGCGGAGCATTGAGCTGACATGCAGGTAGCAGTCAGGTGAACACTGTGTGGAGTCCGTTCTCTCTCTCTCACACTTGTGTGTTCCAGGGATTGAAATCGGGTTTCCAGGCTTATGCAGCAAGAACCTTTACCCACTGCGCTGTCTTGCTGGCCCACAACTGGCCCTTCACACAGGTTCTAGGGATCTGAACTCAGGCCCTCATATTGCCAGGCAGGCTCTTTACTGAGCTATCTCTGCAGCCCCCAGGATCTCAATATACTTGACTTCACGGTTGTTGACACTTCTCCCAAGATGGGAGGGTGGGGATGAAGGTATGCCCCATTTGGTGGGCTCCCTGGCTTCTAAGAAGATGGGGGCGGGAGGCTGGGCATCTTGAGCCCATCTGCCTAATACTCGGGATGAAATCAAACAGCATAGCACCACTGCTGAGTTCCTTTGCTGCACCCCAATAAATTGCTTATGTGATCCACAAGCCATGACATGTCCTGGTAGGAAGGCAAAAGAAACTTCTGGAAACCAGCAAGGAAGAGAGGCAGGACAGCCACTTTCTCGGATATTCCTACTTTATTTGTTGGCTACATCAGTGCAAAGTAAAGGCAGGTGGGCATCGTGCATGCACCCGGGGACGTGTGTTCTAAGTGGAAGGGCAGGTGCGTGTGTCGGGGAGGGCATCAGGGTGCTTCGAGCAGGCTGCATTCTGAATCCAGAGCCAAAACCAGCATCAGGCTTGGGCGACACAGCCAGCCAGCATGCTTTCTCCTAAGGGTGACCGTGACAGGGAAGAGGGCAAAGCATGGGGACTATAGGGACTAAACAGAATTAAAGGTAAGGAGGAAAATGGCAGCAGGAGATGGTTAGCCACCTCAGGGCAGACAGAGCCTGATTCTAGAAGAGTCCCTCAGCCACAGCACGAGTCACCGAGAGTGGGGAGCATCCCAGGGGACATCGGAAGGAACGAGCAAGGCTGAGCTGGGAATGAGAGTTTTTAGTCTTGGTCCGACTGCCGCAGTTGGGCATAGGGGGACTTGGGACACTGACGGGGAATGACTATCAACATGGGAAAAACCAGACTTTTCTTCTCCTGTGTGGAAGATGGCCCGTCCCAGCCTCGATGTACCTTCCTCTTGGTTTGTGATGGGCCTAGAGGGTCCTGCCCTGATCAGAGTTTTTAATACTGCTATCTGATTGCCCCTGGGAACCTCAGGGAAGAGAGCAGAACAGAGGAGGCTCTGACGGGGAGCGGGGGGGGGGGGCTGTTCCTTTGTTCATTGCCAAAGAGTAGGAGAAGGGGAGAAGCGAGGGGCCTGGGAGGAGGTCCCCTCAGACCCAGAGCCCTGTGCTCACTTGGGGGGCCAGGGACAAGAAAGAGATCCAGGACCTCAAAGTGTCTATAGTGCTGGAGGATGGCTGCCATGCGGCCAGGCTGTGCCCACTGCAGCCCCCAGGCCTGAGGACAGCCAGGCACGCCAGCGGGAGATGTGACTTCAGAGGTGTGGGGCCCAGATTTATCCGGCTTGTGAAGCTGCTGACCAGGCTGGCAAGGGGCATGGGGAGGGGTGAGGCTCTGCCTCGCATCCCCCAATGTAGAGGGGAGAGTAGGCGAGAAGCAGGAGGGCAGAGGGGCATGAGGGTGGGTGGGAGGCATTGGTAGGATGGAAGATAGCAAGGAGGAGGGAGGGGGATTGGTTTTCCTGGAAGAGGGGGGTGCGGGCCCTCTGTATATTCTGTGTATCTATCTCCGGGTGTGTCTAGAGCCCGGGGTGGGTCTGATTGTTTTGAGGGGACAGAGGCAGCATCAATGTACAATTTCTGCCCCTGTGCTGATCCTTACAGCCGGAGGGGTCTGCCAGTGCCCAGGGGGACACACAGACAGGACACAAGGAATGACCTTGTATGTGTTCAAGGTTAAAGCAAGCCCCTTTGTAAACAGCTCCCCACTCCCACCACCCCACCACAGGGACCAGAGAGGGCTGGCATCCAGATCCTGCAGCCCAGGGAGTGGGTCTTTGGCAGCAGTCTGAAGTGGGGGAGACATCAGAGGCTCAAGGGTAGCAGGAAGGCTCTGAGAGGGGATCGCGGCTGGGGTGGAGACGGGAGCACGGGGAACACTAGTTCCTAATCACTGGACACGTGGTTCTCATTCTGCAGTTGGTGCCAGCGCTCTATTTTCTTGTCCTTGTTCTTCAGACATTCATACCAGTGTTTCAAGCGCTCACCTTTGGCAGAGATCCCCAGCTGGCAGCCTCCTGGAGATGAGCAGAAAGGGGAGGGAGGGGCAGGTCAGTGGGGAGGGAGGCCGTGCCCACACATGTCCCTAGACTCAGGAGTATAACTAGAAGAAAGATGGCCACCAAGTAGTGACACCCCCAACCTTGCCATCCTCTAAGAAGAGGCCTGTTGCTATGTGACTGTCATCATCATTATTATCACAGACCCTCTGAAACCTCAAGAGCCTGCTATGGCTCCCTACTGCAGCCCCGAGTCAGAGCCCCAACAAATCCTCGCCTGGATTCTCCTCTACTTTTCTGCCTTTGTCTCCACATGCTGGGCATTCACTGTCACTTCCCGAAGGGTCAATTTCATCCTTATCCCTGTCTGGAATCTCTCCCTGTGCCATGGTTATGACTTTCTATCCTTGGCATTTGGAAGAGCTGGTGAAGTTAAACCTTCCATCTGGAACTTGCCTAGAGATTAAGGGGGGCTCCCTTCTGACTGTTTCTTGCAGAGTCCCAGGTTAGCCCTGAGCCTACAGAGCTGCTGGCAGATGGGGTGGTGTGAACATGCCCCCCAAGCCTTGCAAAGCACCCTACAGGTGGGGGAGAGACAGATGAGGGGCTTGTCCCCACAGCCAGGGCACTCACCAATGTAATCGTTAGATTTGCCGATGTCGTAGTCCCATACTGAGATATCCAGGGACTTTTTGGCCAGGTCGCTGTGTTTGATGTCATAAAAAAACTCCTGCGAACAACAGAGAGGGGGTTTTAGCTCCAGACTGAGTTCCAGGCCAATCAGGGATTGGCTCAAAAACAAAAACAAAAACAAATGGACAAAAGTGTCTTAAATGTCATCATTTCAAAAACACACACATTTCTTTATGTGTGTTTGCACACCATGGCTCACATATAGGGGTCAGAGGACCAGTGGTCTCAGAGAACAAATGCAGGCCATCATACTTGGCCAAAAGACTCATTATTTACTGAGCTACCTTTCTGGGTCTATACCATCATTTTCATGGTGACACTCAGTGACTGTTGGGCTGTAGCCTGGTCCCTCACGGTTGGGTGTGTAGGCTGCCTCTAATTTTCAGTCATGAATGACACCATCAATGGCATCGATGGGGCAGGATCACTTGTCCATCCATGATGATTAACTTAGGACAATTTCCAGGAAATGCATTTCTGATTCTGGTGTATACAGTGACGTCAGTTGAACTATAAGTGATCTGGCTGCAAACTCAGAAGTGCATTCTATTGTTGCTTCAGGAAAAAAACCATGTCTGAGGCCACAGTTGGGGGGTTGTCTGATGAGATACTTGTTTTGAGACAGTGTCTTGAGGGGTCTCGCTAGGTATCCCGGGATAGCCTTGAACTTCTGAACCTCCTGCCTCAGTCTCACAGGTCTGGCCCCTGCCCTACTTGTATTTCTTATTTGTGACTTGTCCAAATTCTAAGAGATGGTAGGGCTGCAGTGTTTTAGTCTCCTGTGTGAGTTTTGGGATGCTGACTTTCAAAAACCATCATAAATGAACTGTATCAGACATCACCACTCCCCCACTTACAAAGTGTGGTAGAATCCAGTATTAGCCAGCTCAGAGACAAGGCCAGAGTGAGAGCACAGGGACTGGACAGCCCACGGCAGGGGTGGGACTCAGGGCTAGGGGCTCCAGCTCAGCCCTGCTCTCCTTGCATCTGGACAGTGTATTTTTCTCTTTGGAGGCTGTCCAGGTGGGTGAGCTTACAACTCCACTCCTTCCTACTCCTTATTCAGTCCTCTACTGATGGGACAGATGCCTGTACCCCTCCTGCCTGGCTGGCTTATCAACAGGTAATGGAGAAACAGGGGTTCAGTGTGAGAGGGAAGGAAGGAAGGCTTTGGAAACATAGAGGAAGTTTGTGTGTGGGAGGTCACATGCGTTCTTTGTTTTGAGGCATGGATAGGAGTTTGTCAGGGAGGAAAAGAGGTGAAGGGTACAGCCACTTAGGAAGGGGACAGCATGTTCAGATTCGAGTTTTCGGCTTTCCCATGAAGGAGGAAGCATCTGTGAGTACCCAGTGCTCAGTGGGACTTGATGGGGGGCGGGACATGGAGGTGGCCGAGCCTGCCACTGCCCTCATTCATGTCATCACAGATCAGGAAAGGTGCTGGGGGTGAATTAGTCCAGTGTCTGGAAAAACGGCTTCCTCCCTGCAGTGTTCTCAAGCTGCTGGCTTTGTCTGTGACAGGGATTCTGTCCCCTCTCCTTTTGACATGACGGAAGCCGTTGATCGATTTCAAACTGCTCTTTTGGGTTGATTAGGAACATTCTGGGAGGGATTCATTTCTCTTTCACATACAGAGAGTCTCCACCACTTATGCCAAAGGAGGAGGCGGCCTTACCTCATTAAACTCAGGGTTCAGGGTTTTCTTTTTAATCTGAGTCTTGTGCTTGGCTTTCTTGCCCATGTCCGGTTTCAGCCAGCTGGGAAGAGACACCCGTATATCAGAGAGCGCCCCAACACTGGTGACACCTTGGACGGTGGGGGCCCTGCTCTGAGCACCTCTGGTCACTTTGCTGCTCAGCATTGGATTTCTGTGACCTCAGGGGAGAGTATAAAACCCTCACACAGCCCCAGTGTCCATGTGGTTGGGTCCCAGCTCCACCCCCCCCCTTCACACTCTCTGTCATCATGCTCTAGACCACCCCTTCCTCCTCCTCCTCCTCCTCTTCCTCCTCCTCCTCCTCCTCCCCCCACAGCCTTTGCACACAGCACTGTTTTCTCCAGCCAGGAAGCTCTTCCTTAGAGTAGGCACAGTGTTTAGCACATAGTAGGTGCTCACCCAGTATCTTGTGGGTGAAAACAAGCACTTTAGGGGTGGGACGGGACAGTGTATGACAGACACTAATGATAAGTGGCTGAACAAAGTCTGCTTATGCTCTCACGGTATTTTCTACAGGAGTGAACAAAAGTCTAAGCACCATCTCAGGGTGGGGACATCTGACTCCAGTGGTCACTAGTAGAGCCAGCTTTGACAATATTACAGGGATAACCCCAAGTCTGAGATATTTTGGGTGTTTTTTTTTCCAAACAGGGTTTTTTCTCTGTGTAACAGCCCTGACTATCCTGGAACTCACTTTGTAGATGGCTGGTCTTGAACTCACAGAGAGCTGCCTGCTTCTGCCTCCCAAGTGCTGGGATAAAAGGTGTGAGCCACCACTGCCTGGGAATTTGGGGTATTTCTATACTGAATTTGAATGAAGCCACATTGTCTCTTTGGCAGTGGAGATCTGAGGTACTTGGAATGGAAATGGAGAGAAAGAGAGAGAGAGAGAGAAGAAAGAAGAAAGAGGAGAGATAGAGAAGAGATGGAAAGATAAGAGAGAGAAGAGAGAATAGAGAGTGAAGACAGGAGAGAGGGGAGAAGCGACAGAAGAGAGAGAGAAAAGGGGAGAGGGGAGAAAGGAGAGAGAGGAATGAGAGATGGAGAGACAGAAGAGAGAGAAGAGGAGATACAGGGAGGAGAGAGGAGAGACAAGAGAAGAGATGGAGGAGAGAGAGATGAGATCCAGAGAGGAGAGAGAAGAAGAAAGAGGAGAGGAGAGAGAAGAGGGAGGAGAGGAGAGAGGGGAGAGAGAGCCCATCTCTAGCTTACCTCTTTCTTGTTCCCTCTGCACCTGAGGCCAAGCCCAAAGGAGTGTGGCCACTAACACAAATACACTGACAAGGTAGATGTCGCTACAATGGGGTCCATAAGTGGGATCACTATGCCAATCCCTCTGGGAAGGGACAGTTACACGGGTTTCCATATGGCAGGCATCACCCTGGCTGGCTTTCTGACACTCCAGCCTCACCTTCAGTCTGTTCTGGGCATAGTTTAGCTGTGTGACCTAGGGCAGTCTCCTTCCCTCTCTGGTCTCAATGGTTAATAGTCTGGGGGTGTCTCTCGTCCTTCATCCTCCCTCTCCCAGGGTCTGAGCCCCCCAGAGCCCCTCTCATCCTCCAGCACTGCTGCTTGACTCACAGCTTGACGAAGGGGTCTGAGTAGCCGTTGGCATCCATGGCGGCCAGGTGCACACAGCGGATAATGCCCACGATGAGGCCACCCTGCTGAGTGCTGTACATGAGGGACACCAGGATCTTGCCACGTTCCTCTATGTCACCGATTCGCTCCACCTGCTGCATGTGGCAAAAGGCAGTGTGGGCCTCAGAAAAGCGGGAGATGTGGGCGGTAATTGAGCAGGGGGAGGGGGATGGGAGCCAGGGCCAGCGAAGGGGGGGCTGTCAGCACCATGGACAGCGGGTGCCTCGTCCTCACTGGTACAGGAGTGAGCCCTAGGCTAGGCTCACACAGGGCACATTAGGGCCAAGCTCAGCTTGAGTCAATCATGACCAGAGCCCTGACTTGGAACATTCATTGGAGCTGGTCTCCATCCTTGACAGACGTTCACCCTGGTCCCTGACCTGACCCGGCCTCATGTTCCCACAAAGGGATGAGCATGCCATTGCTCTTAAGTGTAGAGCCAGCAGCAGAAGCCATGGGAAGTAAGCCCTGGAAAATGGGTATGCAAGAATGGGGACAGTCCCTTCTTCCTACGGTCTGACCCTGGGGGTGAAGGACATTCCCCCTCCCCCCATGAGCCAGCAGGCCAGTGATTGGGGGGAGAAGAGAGAAGGGGGGAGGAAGGGGAGAGACTGGTGGCCCCTGGTAGTCTCGGCAAAGTCACTGCCACGTTCCACCCATGGCCAGCTTACCTCCTCCTCGTAGAGCGCCATGCCACGGGCTGACCCAGTGGTCCCTGCGCGCTTCATCTGCGGGAGGAGACAGAATGGGGAGGTAACCTTAAGGGCTCACCACCCCCCCTGCTGAGGGAGGACCCAGAGTCACAACGGTGGGCTCTCCAAGCCACACCCCCCACGCTGCCCCATTCACTGATGTTTACACAGCATGAACTGTCCAGATGGGAGCAGCAGCCGAGTGTGAGTTTTACTGCAGCCCCCAATTTACGGAAGGTGACACCAAAGGTCAGAGAGGACCAGCAGGCTGTCCAACTGTTGGGGAGCCCACATATAAACCACAAGTATTCATTCACTCGGGCTGCGTGGCTCAGGGTTCTTGGTTTCTTCTGTGTGACTCTGGGGTTCTTCTGATGGACTCCAAGACTCTGAGGAGCAGGGTTGTGAACTACGGGTTAAACTCAACCTCTGCCCTATAGAGATGAGGACATCTGGGAGGAAGGGACAGTGCTGACGAGACTACTGTCCTTAGTGCAGTGGTCCACAGTGAGGTGGAAGGAGGCGGCTCCTCAGACACCTGTCTACCTGGCTACCTCTGTGTCTTGGGAAACCACGTCCACTAATTTGGCAAGACAGGCATACCCAGAAGCTGGTGACGCTGAAGACATGACTTAGCAGCTGGATCCATTGGGTGAGAAAGAGAAAGACGCCTGAAGAACCAGCTGCCACCAGACAGGGTCCCCCAGAGACACCTCATGCCCAGGACTGGCTCTCATGACTTACTCTGTGAGCACACTCCCAGTTGGCTGTAGAAGCACAGCCCAGTGCCGAGTAACACCCTTTCCTGGCCATCCAGCACAAAGAGGCTGCGGGTGCGCCTTCCATCCCGGGGCTTCCCTAGGGGTAGCTGAGTCCCTGCTTCTTGGGTGGCCCTGGCCATTTGCTCCTGACCCTAAAGTCACCCCACCTCCACCTGGTGCCCTGCACTGCCGCAGCCCCTGCCTGATGCCCACACAGCCAGCACTCACCGGGATCACCCGCTCCAGGCAGATGTTGAAGTTTTTCCTTTGGTTGGCTTTCAGCTTCTTGAGCGAGACCCTGGTCTCACCAATGAACTCATTGTGGCCAAACTTGTCCTCATCGCACACAGAGACCCTGCCATGAGCCAGAGAGAGATAGAGAGAGAGCAATGGATACTGGGCCCCCTATGCACCTGGTGAGGGGCACTGGGTATGGCCTCAGTTTACCCAAGTGACTCAGTTCCCAGGCTGAGGGGTCTATCCCTCTTGTGATCCCAAACAACCACTGCACATGCACGTAAGAGCTAGAACATTCCAACGCCAGAGGCCCTCAGTCAGGGTCCTTCTCTAGACACTCCCTTGCCCTAAGAGACCCACCCACTCTTGCCTGCAAGGAGCTATGCACCTGCACTTGACCCTGTGTAAACAGGACCACACAGTGCATACCAGCTTTTCTTGAGAAAAGGACTTGAGAAGTAGCCCGGGCTAGATTGAAATTCACTATGTAATCCAGGCCAGCCTAGAACGCCCAAGTCTCCTGCCTCAGCCTCCTGAGTGCTGGGATGGCAGGCACGCACACCCTGCTTATCTTATCTACTGCCTGCTTACCTACCCCTCCCTGTTGCTTCTTCAGCACCGTGCCTGTGGGTCTTAGCTATGCCTGCAGCCGTGAGTTCTGCATCCAAACACATTCATGGACAAGACCCCTCCTCAGTCTGTACTGAGCGTGTGCAGATGGTTGTCACAGCTGGACAACACAGGCTGGGACACAGCCATGACGCAGAAGGCCCCCTGCATGGACAGCTCCCCCTGGAGTCCCACCCTCTGCTGCCACCTGCAGGCACCTGAGCGTCTTTCTCTGCATGTCCTCCTCCGTAATGCCATGGTACTGCAGCGTCTCATTCCACACAGGGTTCCGCGTGTTGCGCAGGGTCTTCGTACGAAGCTTGTTGGACTAGAGACCCCCAAAACAGACAGACAGGCACCCATCAGTAGAGACAACCTGGAGACCCTCCTTGAACATCCCCTTAAGTGAGGCAGCTCGGACGTCTTCCATGGAGACAGACATGGCTTACAGCGGAAACGAGGCCGCTAATTCTGAGGCAGGGGCAGGGGGATGTTTCCTGAGTCCTTAGGCAGGGTCCTCCATGCCTGCAAGTCCTCGGAGGAGACAGCTTGCCTTCCCTCCCACAGCATTGAGGAGGGAAGCCGCAGCCTTGACACAGTAGGCAGGTGCTCTCCCCGTGAGGAACACCTCCACCCCAAAACAAACTTAAACCTCAAGATGGAGCTCACTAAGTTGCCCAGGCAGGCCTTGAACTGGTGACCCTCCTGCCTCAGTCTCCCCAGTATCTGGGGTAATAAACTTGTGCCATCAGGTCCAGCCTTTTGAAAAAGTAGCACAAAGTTTTTCATTTTACTCCAGGAGAAAAGACTAGAAATACAGTTATAAACACAAGAGGAGGCTGGATGGTCCTAATTCACACTAATGTGGAAGTGAATGATGGGACTTAGTGGGTTTTGATGGGCAGCAACAGTCACCAGTGGGCTGGAGGAGAGGAGGGACCACAGTATCACTAGTCAATCACAGCAAGAGGTGGTGGGCATGCCCTTAGCTCAAAGACAATGATGAGACAACGTGTGTATGTGCATGCATGAATGTATGTGTGTATACATGAATATGTGTATCATGTGTTTAAATGTACATGTATGTGCTCTGACGTATTAGGTATTTGAAACTCACAGGCATCATCCCAGGAACATGAAGCTCAGTGCTCCCTCCACCCCTAAGACACCCACTTCAAAAGAACACTGGCTGGGACTAGCTGGAGAGCAGGAGGGCCGTGCTGGCACTGGGGCCAGCGAAGGTACGTGTGTGTGTGTGTGTGTGTGTGTGTGTCTGACTCCCTCCTGGCCTTTGGCAGCTGCTGGGCTCCAGTGTTTTGTTCTGGGGATGCTGCCTCTTCCCCCACTGTGAGGGCTTTGCCTGCCTTGGGATGGGGTGGGGATGCAGGCTCTGAGTAGAGAGCCCGTGAAGAACCCACGGCCGCTGAGTACCTTGCTGGCCCCAGGCAGCAGGTGCAACTTCACATAGGGGTCCGCCAAGCCATTGGAGTCCATGGGCTTCAGTCCCTGCAAGAGGAGGAGGAGGCGCAGGAGGGTCAGCCACAACCGGGGATGACATCTGTCTCACCCAGTGGGGACAGAACAGAGGGTTGCTGTACCATGAATATAACACTGGCATCTGGTGCAGAGTTTAGCAACATACTAGCTGTGTGGCTGTAGGCAGCTTTCTATGCCTCTCTGGGCCTGTTTCCACACTGTTGAATGGAGCCGTGAGGCGGTTTTAGCATAGTTGCCCCTGGGTGTTATAAAAGGAATGGAGAGGACATCCCAGCATAGTTAGCAGATACAAGTGGCTGGGGACCCAGACATTCCTGAATCCAGGACCTCAGACATTCCTGAATCTAGGACCTCACCTCTGCTTTCATTTGAGACCTCAGTTTCCCCACTTAGGGAGTGAGGCTCACACCACCTGTCCCTCCTCAGGGCCAGGAGAAAGTGGTTTTAGCATCATTATCTGAGATTAGTTAAACTGGCCTTGCTCACCTGAGCAACCCTCAAGGCTTTGTATCTCAGACACCCTGTCCACCCACCCAGGCTAGGCAGAAGTCCCACCTGTGACCTCCACTTGCTCATCTAATTGATGGGGCCGATGATGTCCACAGAGAGTAACAAATGAAGTCTTGCCTTTGAAGATGAGCATCCTGTATTCAGGGATGTAACCCCAGTCATTGGTTTCTGGCCTCAGTTTCCCCCACCTGACTAATGGGACTAATAAAAATGCCTCCCTCACCTGGTCACCAAAATAGCTGGGAAGAGAGTAATATACACCTGATCACCTCACTGTAGTGCCTAGTATACAGTAGGGACTCAATAAGTGCATGCCACAAAGTGGTTTGGGCTAGAAGGTGAATTGATGCAGGAGATGCTTTAAGCGTGTTGGCTCTTGTTTACCCTCCAAACTGGAGGGCAGGAGTGAAAGGAGGATTGTGTCACTTCCACCACAGACTGGCAGGCACCCACAAATGACCAGCCACTTTACAGTTGGCTTTCCCGGCATGCCTTGGAGGAAGGACACTTCTTAACCCCAGAGACGGTCAGCCACTTTCCCCAGGCAACACAGTGAGCAGCCAGCAGCCACTCCGGGGGAATCTGCTCCAAATCTTGCTGTTTTTTCCTGGGGTCCCAGACTTAAGTTCACCCCGGATTCCCCAAGGTCTGGAGTTCATTCAGCCCACATCCCGTGTAGCCAGCTACGGCACCTCCTTCTCCAAAAAACCACCTTAGTATCCATAGCCACAGTTCCCACTCCAATGCTGCCCTGGCGGACGATGACATCAGCAGGAGTCGCCAAGTCAGGCTGTCTTGGTGGCACCTGAACTGTCCCCTTTGCATGCTGTAGGTGGCCTAGGTGACCCTCACAGCCAAGCTGCCTCCTGCTCCCAGGAAGCAGCCACAGGACCATCCCCAGAGGAAGTCCTCCCTAAGGAGGTTTGTCACGACTGATGACAACCCTGTTTATCTCTGTCATTGCCACAGGTCAATGACAGCAGGAGCCGGGCCTGGGACTCATTCCCAGAGCATCCCCAGGGGTCCCCACGCACCTTTGCCCTGATGATGGTACACTGCAGGTTGCTATTGTCCTGGTCATAGAGAAGACTGAATTCCAGGGCACCCAGCGTGGCTGCAGGTGACAGAGACAGGAGTCAAGAAAACATCTGTTTAGTCAATCCATAAACATTGTCTGGGCACTTACCAATGTATCCAGCCTCAGTTAGGTACTGGGACCACGGAAGAGAGGAAGGGCAGGCCTTGGTCTCATACTCCATCGTGGTAGACCTAGCTCCTAGGAGCCTTCTGCAATCATTTGTGTACATGTTTAATTAGTGACAGCCTCCCCTGCCAGATTGAGAGAGCCCTAAAGATAAGAACTAGTGTTCTCGATAGATTACCTGACTCTGTGTGTGCAAGGCGCATAGTAGGTACTCCTGTGTATGCTGCCGGAACAAATGGATGTCGGCATTTGCTGTTCCTCTTGCTGGGAATGCTCTCTCTCTCTCTCTCTCTCTCTCTCTCTCTCTCAATGCTCACATGACTCACACCCTCTCATGCTCTACAACTTGGCTCAAAAGTCACCTCCTCTAGAAGCCCTCCCTGATTGTGTCCTTGAAGCAGACACTGGTGAGGTCACTCAGCATGTGATGAGCTTATTCCAAGTTTGACTCTGCCTTCCCTGTGGCCTTTTGCCTGAGAGAAGTTGAGACACCTGGTGTGAGGTCAACAAATCCTTGTCAAACAAGTGAGGAACAGAGAGAAGCCAGGCTTGCTGTACCCAGCTCTGTGACTGGGCTTATGTCAGGGAAGCCTGGAGAGAGGTCACACTCGGGAGATGGAAGACAGAAGAGCATCCAGGACAAGGGTGGAGCAGCATAGAGATGGCATGCCGCTGGGACTGACAAGCTGGCAGGCTCCCCTCTCCCCTTCCTGAGACCACAGACCCATCTCTGGAGAGTCCCCGTGTCACAGGGGACACCTGCTATATCATATAATGTGGCCTTCAAGTGACCAAAACCCTGTGATGGCCTGCCAGACCCGCCACTCACTGGCTATGCTGGCTAGCTCTGTGTCAGCTTGACACAAGCTAGAGTCATTTGGGAAGAGGGAACCTCACTTGAGAAAATGACCCTACCCGACTGGCAGGTGGGACAGTTGCTTGATTGATGGGGAGGGCCCAGCCCATTGTGGGTAATGCTATCCCTGCGCTAGTGGTCCTGGGTTCTATAAGAAAGCAGGTTGAGCATGCCAGTGAGCTGCACCCTCCATGGCCTCTGCATCAGCACCTGCCTCCAGGTCCCTGCCCTGCTTGAGTTCCTGTCCTGACTTACATTCTTGATGGACCACAATCTGTAAGATGAAGTTAAACCCTTTCTACCTCAAACTGATTTTAGTCACGGTGTTTATCACAGCAATAGAAGCTAACTGGCCGTTTCTGAGTCTCAGGGAGCCTTTCCAGGACTATCTGCAGAATGAAAGGGGAGAATGTCCCATCCCCGCTTGCTAGGGACAGGAAGTAGGGAGTGTGGACAGCCCACTGGAGCTCAGCCCCACCAGCGTCCTCTCTCCTAGCCTCCATGCTTTGCAGTAACACTGCTGCCATTCCTCATGTGTGCTCAGCACAACATGATCACGGTGGTGTCCAGGTTACCAATACTTTCCCTGCAGTGCCTCAGGTTACCCATCCAGCGCCTACAAAGGAAGTGATAAGGGCTAGGGACCCAGCCCCATAGCCCCACCTCCCAGTAGCATCCAAAGGTTTTGCTGTACTGGCTGCTTCAGCCATAGCAGACAAAGAAAAGGGTCTGGGGTGTGGGTGTGTCCGTCCCTGGGCCTCTGGGCCTGAGTTCAAGAGGGACCCAGTAGGTACCTAATAAACATTGAGCATCTAATGATCTAGCAGGGATCCCGGTCATGAGAAAAAAAAAAAATGACTGCTGCTAGACACACGTTTCTAGACTTCAGGGACTCGTGCCTATTTGAAAGGGTTGTGGGCCACCAGATAATTCTGTCTGGCAGATGGCCACATGGCTGAACCTCAAGAAACCCCGCAAGAGGCTTCAAATGGCTCAATGATGCTTCGCCCTTGTTTTACCCCAATATGACATGCGGTGCCAACACTGACCACACGGTGGCGCGCACCAGCCTCCCAGCTCTGGGGAGCGGACGGTTGTAGTCCTTTCCCAGCAAATGCAAGGCCCCCTGGGCTTGATGCCCAGAACCACGTGATTTTGAGGGTCCGCATGTTAGGGATGAGGGGGCGTACTGACTCCAGAGTCCCATTCCCACCCCATCCCCAGCTCAGTTTCTGGGTGACTTTCCCAGCATGCCCCACCCCATCCCCAGTCACCTACTTGCTTCATCAGAGTCATAGCTATTGGCTTCCTCCTCCTCCTCCTCGGCCGGTGGCCGCGGCTGGCGGGCAGGGGCCGCCTGGGAATAGGGGCCTGCAGTGTGGGGAGCTGACGGGAAGCCCCCTGTGGGACCTGTCCTCTCCTCCCGGGATGGGGCAACAGCCCCTGGATAACCAGGGTCACTTGGAGGAGCCTCTGTGAAGACACGAGACGGGGAAGGGGCAGTGTTGAGTCCGGAGGAAGCTTCCAGAATGCAGGTTCCCAGGCTGTACGGAGGAAGCTTCCAGAATGCAGGTTCCCAGGCTACACTCAGAATCGGGGGTCCTGGAAGTCTGCATGTGGCAGCCAAGCCCCAGGGATGATTTGAATAAAAGCCAGACCGACTCCATGGAGGTCAGTCAGCGTTGTGGACTCAGCCAGACAGCATGAACCTTAACCTCAGCTGTGTGATATAGGGTCAGTTACTTAATATCTCTGAGCTTTAAGTTTCCTTATTTGTAGAATGAGAGTTACCAAATTCAAAGGTGCTTCTCTGACAACCAGTATTAGTTGCATAAAATAATGAGGGCTCCTGAAAAAAAAAATGACTACCTCGTAACCATGACAACCAGCCACCTGAGGCCTGCATGTGGGTCATGGAATAATCACTGTTTGCTTATCGTGGGCCAAACATTCACCACGTTGCACAAAAAGTGATTTTTGTTTGTTTGGTTTGGAGGGGTTATTTTAACTATTTTAAAAATTGTTATAGTTTGTTTAATCTTCCCAACAAGACTGCAAGGGAGGTCCTAGTCCAACTTACACTTCTTAGAAAGCAAAAAACAGTGGGGGCGGTGGGGGCACACACCTTTGATCCCATGACTCGGGAGGCAGAGCAGGCGGATCTCAGGCAGTTCCAGGCCAACCTGGTCTATAGAGCGAGTTCCAGGACAGCCAGGGCTACACAGAGAAACCCTGTCTCAAAAAAAACCAAAACCAAAACCAAACAAACAAAAAACCAAACAAACAAAAACAAAACAGAGAGGTTTAGTTATTGGCCAGGAGTAACACAGCAGGAAGGGAAGGACTAGGGGTGGTGCCAGGCAGTCTGGACTCTTGAGTCGCTGGAACTGGCTTGTCAGTGTGGACAGTTCAGGGTTTAGAAAGTAGGCTGTTTGGGGGTACAGGTTGAGTAAATGTGTTCTCGAAGGGGCTGGGACAGCTCACACTTGGGAGAGGCTGGGACAGCTCACACTTGCCTGCACTCTGCTCTGGAAAGCGTCCTGGCCCAGGAGTGGCCCTGCTGCCCCCAGGGGGGCCTGCAAAGGGAGGGGAAAGGGGTGGTGAGGAGGTCATACTTCCAGTGTCCATCCCTCCCCTCACTCCACAGGGTGGACAGGAAGCAGACAATGGTGTGCAGAGGGTCCCAGGATGTCTGGAACTGTCCCGGGGTGGAGGATGGAGCTGGCATTGGAAAAGCCCAGGTCCAGCCTTAGCATGGAGCTCTTCCCGAGTCCTGCTTCCTCTTCTGAGTTGTGGAGGAGGTAACACCAGGGTGCTGTCCCTTCGCAGTGGACAGGATGCTCTACCCACCCCTCTGCCACCACCCTGCCCTAAGCACAGGGCCTCCTTCACCCCAGGGTCTAAGAAGAGCTCAGGGCTCTGCCTGTTTCAGTCCTGCAGGGTGATGGGACCGGGGTCATTGCTGGGGGACACCAGGGCACATGGTGCTGCATGGCAGGTACCTGGCTGCACAGGTTGAGGTGGTGCCGGGCTTGGCATTGAGGCTGGGGCAGGGCGGGAGGCCTGGACTGAGTTAGCCCGCCTCAAACCTGCAGGAAAAGGAGGGAGACAGCATAGTTTACACACACACACACACACACACACACACACACACACACACACGCTAAATCATCAAATACAGAGAAAGCACAAAGGACAAACGTCATGCCCCAGCTTCTTAGACACTCAAAGCAGAGGAAGCAAAGGAGAACAGACTAGTTGGGTTTCAGCAGAACTAAACCCCTGGCCAGGCAGTAATGGTGCATGCCTTTAATCCCAGCACTCAGGAGGCAGAGGCAGGCAGATCTCTGTGAGTTCAAGACCAGCATGGTCTACAAGAGCTAGTTCCAGGACAGGCTCCAAAGCCACAGAGAAACCCTGTCTCAAAAAGCAAAAAAACTAAACCCCTGGAAGTCAAGTGACACCATCCACAACGAGAACAAGTGATCCCCAGGGGGTGGAAGCCATTTACAAATAACACAGTGACAAAGGATTGGAATCCTTGATGTAAAGAATACCAGTAACCCAACAGCAACAGAGTCCAGTTTAAAGCATGGGCCAAAGGCCAAACCAGACATTTCTGTGGAGAATCCAAGTGGGAAAAGCAGAGTGCCATCAACTTTCAGGGAAATGCCAATCAAATCTATGGCACCACTCTGAGATACTGATCCACACCCATGGGGTAGCTAGTACTTAAAAACCAACAACCAAATGTGGTGGTGCACACCTTTAATCTTGGCATTTGGGAGAAAAGGCAGGTGGATCTCTGTGCGTTTGAGGTCTCTCTACATAGAGAGTTCCAGGCCAGCCAGGGCACACAATGAGACCCTGTCTCAAATATAAAAACCAAGTGAGCAAAAACCAGCAGCTGGGCTTAGTGGCTCATGCTTGTAACCTTAGCACTCAAAGAGGCCAAGACAGGAGGATCACTGTGAACTCCAGTTCAGGCTAGCTACAGCAGGACGCCCAGTTTCCAAAACCAACCAAGCAAGCAAATACAGAAAACAATGAAACAAGCCAGTCACACTCATTGACAAAGGTAGATAGAAACTGGAACCCTTGTGTATTGTTGGCAGAAAGATAAAAGCAGTCTATACCACTTAGGAAACAGTATGGTGATTTCTTGAAAAGGGTAGATATAAAAATGCCCAAAAGTGTCATATTCTCACTCGTAGGTATCTACTCCAAAGACTTGAATAGATATTTGTAAGAGAAATTCTTAACAGAACAGTTCACAAACATTTAATGGTAGTAACAACCTAAATGCCCTTGGACTGAATGCATAAATAAAATGTAGTATGTCTGTTCAATGAACTATTATGCCTTTCCCTCTCCCTCTCCTCTTTTTGTGTGTGTTAGCAGTTGGATAGAAGAGATCACTGTGGGTCCTGAATACTCGGCCACCATGTTGAGACCCAGCCCCCCACTATAAAAACAGAGATGCTGTCCCAAGGCTCAGACACAGTTTCATGAGAAACAAATGTTCCTAGCCTAACACTTCAAAGTCAAGTGACCAAGACTCTCCTCACCAGGCACTTCATAGTAATCTACTTCGAGTGGTCCCAAGAAGTGGCCCTGATAGTGATGCCTGTCAGTCAGTATTATCCTGGCTGCATTGTCCTGCCCATTGACACTGACAGCAGAAGCCACATGGGAAAGTATTTAGATGGATACTCACTTTTCTCAAAGCTAAGTGGCCTTTCTTCTCATTTTGGGAGTCAAGCAAAGCTAAAACTCATGTGGATTTCATATGTCATGCTGGGGCAAGAAGAGTCTTGATCACAAATATGATGTCTGGAGCTAGAATTGTATGACTCCTTGACTACAGACCAGAACAGAATGGGAACAAAACATGTTATGTACTAGGTGCTCAATAAAGGCAGCACATGCTCACCTGCTGGGCTCTGGCTGGCATCTCCAGCACCCCCACCATGGCCATGGTCCCAGCCCTCGGAATCCCGGGCAGTAGTACTCATTCGTGCCTCAGAGGCCCTGCGCATGGGAGGCCCATGGCTTCCTCGCCCAGAAGCAGAGGTGAGGTCGGGGCCTGCAAGGAAAGGCATGGCTTGAACAGAGAGAGGGAAGTGGTGGGGTGGGGTCTCAGAGTGTGAGACAGTTACCAGAACTCACCTGGCTTCTGACCTGGGGCCCTCCTCTCCTCCATATCACCTGGAAGAGAGAGAGAGAGAGAGAGAGAGAGAGAGAGAGAGAGAGAGAGAGAGAGAGAGAGAGAGAGAGAGAGAGAGAGAGAGAGAGAGAGAGAGAAATAATGCAGAATGCTGGTTTTCTGGTGTCTGTAGAGTTCTTATTTCAGAGATTCACAGGGGCTCAGCCTCTCTTCCTAAGAAAAGTTTTTGAATCATAAGTAAGTTTCCCTCCAGCCTCTCCTCTGAACTTGTTCCCAGTGTCTCATTTCCTTATTGTGTGAAGACACAAGCACAGACCAACAAGACAATGACAATATCTTCTGCCTAGACTGGTAGGTCTGTCCAACCTTTGACATCATGGCATTGTTATCTGTGAATCCACAATCAAGCACCACATAGCCACATTACAAAAAAAAAGACTAAAAATTCTGCTTCTATTCTAAATAAGTTTGCAATTTTGTTTTGGGCTGCATTCATAGCTACCCTGGGCTACATGTGGCCTGTGGATGTTGGGTTGGACACTCCTGGCAGAGGGAGGAAAGAGTGATCAGGAGGAAGGATGGTTGATAATACTACACACTCCTCAGGGACAGTATCTGTTGACAAATTGGTGATTCTACAATAAATAGAAATAAAAAATTAAAAAAGGAAGTAGAAATGGCTCATGTCACTCCATAAAGAAAACTTTATGCACCAGGCACTATGGCTTTGAGAAGTCATCCTATGAGAGATGTGTCAGATGCTTAGATTTGAGCTCTGTATGTCTAGCTCTCTTTTGAGAAATAATGCCCCAGCATTGCTTGTCCAGTTGGATCTTACCATACAGTGTTAATTGAGATTATTACAAGGGCTTTATTTGGCCAGTCCAAGTGGTGCTGTCCAATGAAAATGCAATTTCATGGAGTCATTTTTCTTCCTGTTGCCTCACTCTCTTTTAATGAACACTTTAATTATTAATAACCATACTCGGATAACAGCCATGCTATTAATAGTGCTGATAATTTTCTTTTACTAATTTCATTTCTATTCATCTTTCACTTCTAATTAGTCCAGTTTCAGAATTGTTTATAGTCAATAGAAGAAAAACAAGTGAAAATCACACATGGTGCAGCACACCTGTAACCCCAGCACTTGGGAGGTAGAGGCAGGATATTAAGGTTCAAGGTCACCAAATCCTCAGATACAAAGGGAGTTCCAAAGTATCCTGTGCTACATATGAGTCTTCCCAAGAAGAAAAAGGAAAGGGAGAAAAAGAAAGAGGCAAGGGGGAAGGGGACAGAGAGGAGGAGGAGGAGGAAAGGGAGATGAAAAAGGAGGAGGAAGGAGAAGAAAGAAAAAAAGAAGGGAAAGAGGAGAGGAGAAGGAAACACAAGAAAACCAGGAGAGCCTCTTTAGCATGCCCAAATTCCCCAGGTTCCGTGGCATATTCAGCTGAGTGGGGGCCTTGTCCAATTCCTAATTTTAATTTCTTCTTTTGTGCTTTTCAGCTTCCCACTAAGGAAGACACCAAAGCCACTTAGCAAGCTGGCTTTTCTAGAAAGTTCCCTATGCTACCCTTCCAAACAAGGCTCATGGTAAACTGTGAAGGGGCTAGGGAATCTTAGACAAGAGGTCAGAAGCTAGCTGGCAACAAATACTTTGCTAGGATGCCTTCAGGTAGACCAGTAGGCCAGGACCTGTCCAAGGTTTTAAAAGGGGTTGGTTTTGTCCTACCTCGAGCTGGAGCCCGGGCTGTGTGCCTGGACTCAGGTGTGGGCTGCTCCAGGGCGGCAGGCTCACCAGCAGGCTGCTGGGGCTTGGTCTTCTTTATAGGCATGGGCTGTGGAAGGACCTGTTTGGGGAAACCTTTGAAGAACCATGCCCCTGAGCGCTTCCAGACCTGGGAAGGGAGGGAGGCAGGTATGAGAGACATGGCAGTCATCAACTGCCAGGCTTTATGTTTGCTCCCATGGTTCACAGCCATGGCAGTGGCCACATGCATCTGTTCCACTTATCAGCCTCACGAACATGATGGCCATTTTTTATTGGTAGAGAAAGTTGAATGTTTGCCATGTCAAGGATCTATCCAATAGCTCACAGCCAGAGAGAGGAAGAGTGAGGGCTCAATGCCTATTCTCTCATCTTGTAACTATGGCCTTGGACTTGACGTAAGGAAGGTGGGATGTACCTGTAAGCCCTAATACTTGGAGGTGGGAGGGTCAGGAATTCAGATTTGAGGTCAGCCTGGGATACATGAAACCTTGCCTAAAAAAGACAAAATAGATGATCTACTCCCTGACAACTTCTTCAAGACTCCAAGCCTTTATCATGACTTCAGGTTAGACAAGATGATATGGGGACATCTGGAAGATTACCTCATTCCCATCTTGATATACGCCCTACAAGGTTACCCAGTGTGTCACATAATAACAAGACTTCCATGACTTTGGTCCTCTGGCTTGTGTGATCCAGAATACCAGAGGAGTGTGCAGATGTGGGGAGGTTAGTCATGGTGTCTATCCCATTGGCTCTCTCTCTACTTCTGGGTGGTGATGACCCCCTGTTCCCTCCACCTATCTTCCTGGCTACTGTATCCTCCTTTCTTTCTATTCAGTAGATTCAGAGCCCTGCCATCACTCATATTGGGGATCCCCCCTCCACTTCTTGTGTCTCCCATTCTGCTATGAATAGCACATCACCAAACCTTCCTACATGCTTTATTGTCCTGAGGCTGAAGAGAGAGAGTGTGGCCACTGTGACAATCTCTCCAAGGCAAGCATCTGCATCAGGCAGTGAGTGGTAAAGGGTTGGAGATAAAGTCAGTAAGCAGGTCTGGGTGGGAGACAGATTGACGAGGAGATCAAAGAAAGAATGAGCAGAGAAAAGGATGAAGGATGGGGAGGGCAGAGGAAGATAAGGAAACAGAGTGAAGAGAAAAATATCATGGAGGAGGAGAGAGGGTAAGGACCAGAAAGCAGGGAGATGAGAAAGGCAACAGGCAAAGAGGAAGAAGAGATGCAGGGGGCTCTGAGAGATGACTCAGTGGGTGGAGGGTAAGCATGAGGACCTGTCAGATCTCTAGCACCCGCATAAAATCTGGGCGGTGTGTGCCTGTCACTCCAGTGTGGGGGAATCCCAGGGGTCCACTGGTCAGCCAGCCTAGCTGAACCCATGAGCTCAGTGAGAGACACTGACTTAAAAAGCAGGGCAAAGACAGTAATGGCAGACACCTCCTGTTGACCTCTGGATGCCACAGTTTCACACCTGGGAGAGCACACCATCACACACGTGTGCATACACTTATGCCACACACGGAGAAAGAGAGAAAGAGGGAGAGGGAGACTTAGAGGGAAAGTGAGGGGCAGGGATGAGGAGGGCAGTGATAAAGAGGCAAAGGGAGGAGAGGAGGAAGAAAGGCCACAGTGGCACAGGAGGAAACTTGGGTGCTTCACCAGACATTCACTCCTTTTATGTTTTTATACAGGGGCTCATGGGTCCAGGCTGGCCTCAGATCCACCATGTGCTTGAGACTGACCTTGAACTCCTGATCCTCCTGCACCCACCTCTCCAGTTCTGAGATTACAAGCATGCACCACCATGCCCAGTTCAAGTCAAGTTGGAGACTGAGTGCAGGTCTCACGTGTATTAAGTAAACACTATCCACTAACCACATCCCTAGATCTAGGCTGGTTCCTTTCCTACCAAACCCTTAAGACACAAGAGCCACGCCAAGCCCTAGGCCTCCAAGCACCACCACCCACCTCACCTCCAGACACAGGCCTGGCCACTCACCTCCCTCTGTTCAAGGCAGATCTTACAAAGCCATACTGGATGCGGGCGGTTGTTGGAGGTCTCCACCCCACACTTGGTACAGACATTCTGTGGACAAAACAGCCAAGGTACACACAGGTGAGGCTCTGAGCTGTTGGGAGACTAGGGATGGCAGTGGGGAGGTCAGTTGGGGGGCAGCGATGGAGTTTAAGATCTCTTGAGGGTTGGAAAGAACTAAAACCCTTCCTCACTTCCTCAGGAGAGCAAGAACAATAGGAACAAAGTTTCACTTTGGGTCTTGCTGCCAAAGACAAGAGCTGGATTCTTTACCAAGGGTTGGAGGGGAGGTCCTCAAAGAATCCATCCAGTAAGGTCTGAGTTCTCACCCACCACATGCAGGAAGTCATTATTTTTAAGAAAAGCCAGTATATTCATTCTGTTTATTAGCTTCTTTCTTTTCCCAGAAGACTTGAGACCCACCATTCTAGTAGGCAATGTCTGAATACCAACCAGACAACACAGAGGGACACTGCACTCAACTAAGGACAAATAGGAAAACCCACGAGTGCATAAAATTGTCAAGATAACTGTTATAATGCATTATCTTTCAGATGAACTTTTCCCCAATACTGTATTTGCTTCGTTTTGAGACAGGGTTTCTCTGTGTTGTCTTGGCTGTCCTAGAACTCACTCTGGAGACCAGGCTAGACTTGAACTCACAGAGCTCCATCTGCCTCTGCCTCCCAAGTGCTGGGACTAAAAGACCTGAGCTACCACACCCAGCTAGATCAATATTGTATAGGTTGCTTGGATCACAGGGCAGGAGATGGCCAATAGCATGATGAGCGTCTCTAACTGGGTGGATCACCACATTGCCTTGTGTGGGATCAGGTGGACCAAACACAGTCGTGTCTCTATTCTGGAAAGATTGTGTGCTCATAGCTTGGGGGACAGGGCAAGAGCTCAGGGAGGGGTTTCTCTGCTTGGAGGAATGCTCTTAAAGTCCAAGGAGTCCATGTTGGCTGGAGAGAGGCTTCCTAAGTCTTCCTTTTTAAAGGTAATTTCAGTTTTTACTAGTGTGTGTTTTTGAATGTGTGCAGCCAGAGGAGAACTCTGTGGCATTCTCTTCTTCTACATTGCCAGGGTTCCAGGATTGGACTTGGGTCACTAGGCTTGTATGACAGGTGCCTTTGCCTGCTGAGCCTTGCCTGCCTTTGCTAAGTCTCTTGTCGCTTGATGTGTGTTAAGGGAACACACATATATGTGTGAGTTCATGCATGTGCATGCATGCATGCATGCATGTACACACACAAAGAGTTAGAAAGAGGAATAAAGAGAGACAGACAGAGAGGGAGGAGAGAGAGAAGAGAGAGAGCATGCTCTTCAGACCACACCTAACTTACTAACTAATCCATAACCAGGATCCTCAAGTCCCAGACTCCTGAGTTCATCTTATATAGATGAACTGAGCTCTAAGGGGCATAAAGGCCTTCCATGGGAGGAACCAGCACCCAGGTGACTTTGGGAGACTGAGAATCCTGCAGAATTCACATCCTACAACTGCCCTTCAGCAGCCAAGCTCCATCCTAAAGACCTCAGGCCCCAGATACATAGTCCAACGCCCCACATCCCTCTTCCCCATGCAGGTGTCCAACAGAAAGGAAGGGAGCGTGATGCTGGTACCTTCTTACAGTCTTCACACACCACACAGGTAGAGCCCAGCATGCCCAGCTGCTCTCCACACAGAATGCAGCGGTTCACACCATCCCCGGCCACATTCTTCCTCATGTTTTCCAGACGGTCCACCAGGCGCCTGGGGCGGAGACAGGGCAGTGAGGACCCTCAGGACCAGGTACTCCTGGTGTGGCCCAAGCAGAGTGAGGCCCTCCACCTCAGCATCCATGTTCTTGAGACTCTGACGGTGGCTGCGTAGCCTTCCCTGGAAAGGCTTCCAGGTGCCAGCACCTTCAGAATGCCCATTCCAAGTCCAGGCCCCTCAGCGGCCATCTGTGCTAATGGCTTCAGGGTCAGACCTTTCCTAACTCTCACAGCCTCCTCTGGGGATCGGCCTTCGGAGTTCTGAGTCAGCCAGCTAATTGTGACACACCTGCTCTCAGCCATCATCGCAGGCCTCTGGAACAAATGCTTTCAAACAAAGCATACTGCAGGCACCTGCCAAAATGCTGATTCTGAAACGTGAGTCTGAGGGGGAACTTTCTAGAAAGCTCTGAAGCAATGTTGCTTAATACTGCCAGCCCAGGCTCTGGCTGGATAATGAAGCAATAGGTGTAAACATCGAACCTTCCGGCACCCTGTAGGGTCTTTGGCATCTGGATTTTCAGACATATCTACTGATTTCAAGTCCTATCCCTGCCCTTTCCTCAAACCAAAGGTTTACTGGTCCATCTGGGTGAGATGGTTCACACATATATTTCCAGCGCCTGGGAAGCAGAGGCAGGAGGATTGCTAGGAGTCCCAGGTCAAGTTGTGTTCCACGGGTATAGAGTGAGAGAGCCTGTCTCAAACAAAATGAAAGGTTTGTTGCCTTATTCTAGACATGGAGTGGGGGGGGCAACACTGGAACTGGACTTGGCCATGACTTTGTGGGGTGAAGCCAACAGTCAACAGTGGGCAGTAGAGGTCTTGGAGGGACCCTGGAACCACAGGTTCCAGAGGGTCGCCTGGCAGCCCTGCCCACAGCCATCAAACATGGACTCCACCGGAGGGTCCCCCAGCTCCTGAAAATCATTTTCTGGTGCTTTTCCCCTCCAGTCCCCCCAATGGAGGAATGAAGAGCAGTCTGCAAGCCACTGGACCCAGGCTACACCTCATACCGGGAGGCATCAGTGAAGAACCCACGCTCACACTCACACCCAGTAACATCATCAGCCGCCTCTCCCCAGAAACTATTCCTATGGACCCACAGAGGCAGTAACTAGAGCCAGCCACAGTTTGTGGCCCAGGAATGCCCGAGGTGGTGTTAGCTGCCTCTGAGGTGCACTTGCCCTGTGATAGGAACCAAGGTCAACACTTTGTATCAGTTCACTGAGCAAACCTTCCATCCTCTCCAGGGACTCAGGATTCCCACGATCTGACTTAAGATTTTTTTCCTTCCCCATGGTATTATAAAGAGACTCAGTTTAAAACCATCCCAGGCAAGGACATGGTTCAGCTGACTGACTGCTTGACTAGCATACACCACACCCTGGGTTCTATGCCCAACACAGGTAAATCAGGAGTGGTAGCACATGCCTATAGCCTCAGCACTTAGGAGGCAGAGGCAGGAGAATCAGAAGTTCAAGGTCATCCTTGGCTACACAGTGAGTTGGAGGTTAGCCTCGGCTACATGAGACCCTGTCTCAAAGGAAATATCTAAATAAACAGGCAAAAACTACCTGTAATTTTCATCTCCTTCTAGAAGACAAAAATTCCATGGTATGGTCCTCTTTCATGATGGTGTGTGGCAGCAGAGGGGGAAAGTGACTGCATTTGACTGTGTGCTGGGCCACTAACGGGAAGTCATACACACTGCCTACCCACAACTTCTGCAACTTACGGTGAGTTTATCCTGCCACCCCGGCACACTCTGATGATCCTCCACACTCCTGTACCCATTTGTTCAATTCAAGAAACTCAGGCTAAGTTGCTTACTGGGGGCACTCTCACAAAAGGCAGGGGAGCTGAGATGAAGATTCAGGCAGTCTGTCCCAGGCCCTGTCCCTTACTGCCACACATACAGCATCATGCCAAGCAGTACCAGGCTCCACTCGAGCAGCGGAACCTCACCCTGCCCTGTCCTCATGCTTTTCCCACGCCAATGGCCTCTTGGTCATTGGTAAGGCCTGAGCTGCACACAGTGACCTCTGCTGCCGCCTCCGTGCCCTGTGACTGAACAGGGCAGTCACACCTGCAGTTTGAGCATCTGGGAGGCTGAGGCAGGAGGATCGGGAGTGTGAGGACAGTCTGGGCTACTTAGTGAGTTCCAGGTCCGTCTGGATCCATAGCGCTGTCCACTGTGCCCCGCCCACCAAAGAAACCACCACCAACAAAAATACCAGGGGCTGGGGAGACTGTGCGGTTGACTAAGAGCCTGCCTTGCAAGCATGAGACCTGAGTTTAATTCCAGATATCCGAGTTTAAGTGTGCGGTGTGGGGGTGCTCGATGGTAACAGCAGCAGTGACATGGGAGGCCTCTGGGACCCACTGGCCAGCAGCCCAGCCGGCTTGGCGAACTCTAGGCCAGTGAGTCCCTGTCTGGATAACAAAGTGGACGGCTCCTGGAGAATCAGCCTCGTGCCTGGGGCCTCTACAGACATGTGCATCTGCACACACACGAACAGGGAGATGGAAGATGTAGTGCTTGGAAGATGGTTCTATGGGCTCAGAACTGATGGGGGATGTCCTTTTGTATGCTGTGAATATGTGTTACTGTACAGACCACACCTCTATGGTTAGCTAGTGGCAAGCTCCATTCTCTGATCTACAGGCAGGTTTTATTTGCACAAGTAAGATATCACTACGCAGAACAAGACTCAGGAACCAACATTTTAAAAGGGGTTCCATATGCACTGTTTTTGTGTTGTTTTCTGGCTCTGGGGGTGGGACCTAGGGCCTCATGAGTGTAGGCTGATCCGGCTCCAGCTCCCCCACCCTGCCAAATGCTGCTTCAGAAGAGGTGAGGGGGAACCTCATGTGAACCCTTGCCTCGATCTGCTAAGTGGGAAAAGAGCCCTAAGCCAGAGTGCAAAATCCATCAGGCTGTGAATATGAGATTGGGGGTGTTATGTCTGAATACCTTTGTTGTGTGCATCAAAGAGAAAACAAAAGAAAAAAATCAAAACACTGGCAGCAATCATTGTCCCCGTCCCCCACAGGAAGCATCACTAATGGCTTCTCCTCTGCACTTTAACTCCTCATGGGCAACACATGTCACTTTTCATTAGACAAGAAGAGGACATTTCCAAAGCTTGAGGTGTGCCGGCGAAATGCGGAAGGGGTGTGAGTGGGAATCCTTCCTCTTAGCCAGTTGATGGCTGTGTTGGTATTTTCCTAATTGTCACTGATTCTGCAGCTCAAGCTGAGCAGAAATCACAGATCCTTCATTCAAAAACACATCCTGCACAAACAGCCCCCATAGAGTCTGGAAGGGGCTTGCAGACTTCCTGGTGAAATCTCCCAATCCAGGCAGGCCACCACCACCGTCTGCTTCTCTTGCAGCATTTCTTATGCCCAAGTTCCTGCAATGGCTCGTTAGGCTCGAAGCACTCAGCAGCTTTGCCGGCCCCAAGCTCCAAAAATCATTCCACAATTCCCCACTCCCCAAGACCACATGGTCAGGTTTGTCACAATAGTAACCCATTCTCTGGTACCAATTTCTGTCAAAGCTAATTTTCTATTGCTCTGATAAAGACCATGACCAAAAGAAATTTGGGGGTAGGAAAAGGCTTAGTTGACTTAGAACTTATAGTCTGTCACTGGGGGAAGTCAGGGCAGAGACCTGGAGGTGGGAACAGAAGTAGAAACCATGGAGGAACCCTAATTACTGGCTTGCCCCATGGGCTCATAGTCAATCACCTTTCTTATGCTTCCCAGGATCACCAGCCAAGGGGATGACACCACCCACAGTGGGTTGGGCACTCCCCCATCAATCAAGAAATGCCCCACAGACTTACCCAAAAACCAATTTGATGGAGGTCTTTCATCAACTGAGATTGCCTCTTCCCAGGTGACTCTAGCTTGTGTCAAGTTGACAAAAACCTAACCAGCACAGTGACCTTGAATAACCCTGGCTCTCCTGGTACCCTCTGCCTAGCTTCTTTTCTAAGGGGGTCATGGAAGTCACCTCTCAAGCCTCCTAGTGTAGACAGCACTCAGAGACCACAGGTCCTAGAACTCAAACACCCAGATGTCCCTTCTGGTCCTTGTAGCCGAGATGGTCCCTGAGGAAGCCTGGTTTTATGGCTGTCTCTTTTCCACTCTTCCTCTGCTCAAGCAATTATCTGGCCACTGTAAGTAGCTGTCACTCTCTAGTTGGTCTTTATATGCCCAATTAACTTTATGACGCCTGGTGCCATCCAGGACACATCCATCACTGGGCGGGTGCTTCAGGGGGCCGCTGACTAGTCAGAGAACTTGGGTGGGCACCTCCCATTCCCCAAGATGTCCTTGGAAGCACAGGAAGGACCGTGTCCCTCTACCCTCCTTTCTGGACAGCAATGTATGACCTCTCAAGATGGTGGGGAAGTGGATCACCACTGGCCAGGTGTGCCACTCCAATTTAGGAAGATGAGCGTGGTGGCAAACATCGGAACCTTCTGCGTACCCCATACTGTGAGATAAGGGGCAGTTAGGTTGCAAGCATGGGTACCAGTTTTGGCTCTGCATCTGCCACTTCCCAGCTCAGTGATCCCTGGTGAGTAACTTAGCCATTCTTGGCCTCCGCTCCTTGCCCTGTGACCTAGGGAGAACCAAGCCCTTCACTCTGGGAATGTTAAGGAGGTGAAATCGTGTGTAATGTGCCTGGGTAATGGTGACATTCACTGATGGCTGCAGACTTCTATACTTTCTGTACTCTCCAGTTGTCCCACGTGTCTCTGTGACCAGGATGCTTGAGAACCCATCCCTGTTTTGTAAAAGGGTGCAATGACCATAGGACTCAAGGCCTATTCTAGACACATATCACATAGGACAGTGGTTCTCACCCTCCCTAATGCTGTGACACTTTAATACAGTTCCTCGGGTTGTGGTGACCCCAACCAAGAAATCATTTGTCACTTCATAACTGTAATTTTGCAACAGTTATGAATCGTAACA